CAACAGATGCTTTCCTTTCCGCTGAGACATTCCGGAGGATGAGAGGAGTGGGTTTAAGGGACAGGAGGGTGGTGGAGAGAGGGCTCTGGGTTTATTTCCTTCTCGGTTTGGAGAATAGCAATTTGGGCAGCTAAGACTGGGTGAGGCGCATCTGGTGCGTCTGAGACATTAAAGGATAGGGTTTGGGGGATCTGGTGTAGATCTAGGCTTGGGTACACTTGGGTTTGGGAGTCTAGGGTTTTTGTTCCAAGAGACCACAATTTGAGGGTCCAGGAATCCATCTGCGCATAGGATTTCTCACCAAAGAGCACAAGCTTGGACTGCAGTGTGCGCAGATAGAGGATGTAACAGGCGCCAAAGAAGACAGCAAGGGCCACAAGCAGCATGGGAGATGTCACCCTGGAGGAGGGCAAAGAGGCATGGTCGGGCAGCTGGGAGGCTAGCCCAGCCTGGGGGACCCTGACCTTCTACACCGGCGGTTGGCAGGCCAGGCAAGTTCAGGTCACATTTGGTCACACCAGCCAGGCTGATAGGGAGGCAGGAACTAGACCTTTGATGGAAGAGTGGCAGAGCTACCCCATGGGGGTGGGACCAGGCCAGTGAGAGGAGCGGCTGGCCGCTGAGGGCAGGGCCGACCAGTGCTACCTGGCAGGGGCGGGGGCGGGGGCGGGAGTGGGCGGAAAGGCACTCACACACAGTACAGGATGAGGCCCAGAAAGACGAACACATAATTGCTCTGGTAGTACTCCACATTTCGTACGAGGCGCTGGCAAAGCTCGCCCACGTTGCGGGGCCGCGAGAAGCGCCGCTGGTCCACGAAGGTGCCCCAGGGCCGGATGGTTGCGCGGCGCCGCTCCAGCCACTCACGGCCCGCGCCGGATGGGATCAGTTTCGGCAGCAGAGTCCTGGTGGGCGGGTCCACGTCAGTGTAGACAGGGATGGAGGCCGGACCCCAGGCCAGAGGAGGCTGCGGGGTCCAGACTCCGGGGTTCTTGGGCGGGGTGGGTAAGGGTGCAAGACTCCTGGATCCCAGGGGAAGAAGGGACTGAGGGCCAGACTCCAGGGTACAGGGAAACCAGGGGCCTAGACTCTAGCGTTTTGGGGCGGGGGGGACCTGGATTCCTGGGACCCGAGAGAGGAGGGACAGGGGGCCAGGATTCCCGGCTCTCGGTCAGGGGGGCTACAGCCAGCCTGCTCACGTGGCGCTCAGCCCTTCCGCCCCGGCATCCTTCTGCTGGTCCTTCTCGGCTGCCATGGCTGCGTCGTGAGGGGCAGAACCGCTGTACCGAGCCCTGGGTCCTGCAGACCCCGTCTGCCCCTCCGGAGCCGGGACCCACCCAGCCGAGCCTACGTGGCGCCGTTCGGGAGCCGCTGGGGACGCGAGTTCTGTCGCTTAGCATTGTGGGAGTTGTAGTTCTGGTGATGTCGGGGCGGGTGGACTCCATGATGGTGGTCTTGCTCGCAAAACAGCCTGGGAAATGTCGTGTAAAGTGACGACGAGCGCCTCTGGGCGTCGTGGGAGTTGTAGTTCCAGAAGCCGGGAGTGTGGCGTCTGGAAGGTTTCCTGTCACGGGTCGCCGTTAAGGGCCCTCTAAAGGCAGAAATAGGTGTTATGTACTCTCCCGTGGAGGGTGCAATAGGGGCCCTGTAGAGTCGTGTTCTGGTTTTAGAGAGCATAAGACACACCTGAAGGTTTCATGAAACACTGATTCAGCAGATCTGGGAAGGGGCCCATCATCTGCATTTTTAACAAGTTCCTAGGTGTCCTGATGCTACTGGTGCAGGACCCACGTTTTGAATAGCAGGACTGTAGAGAATCCATGGGAATCTATTCCTTCCATCCTCAAGAGGTGGAGACTAGTGAGTGGGCCATTGGTTGCTAGAGGGGGTATTTGAGGTGGGAGCAAAACTCTCCCCACAACCCTTGGGCTCTCACTGATGGATGGCTTAGGACTAGGAACGTAGAGACACCCGGCTCTGGGTGGATAGGAAGGAGGGACGCTGGGAAAGGGAAAGGGCTGAGAATTTTTTTTTAAGAGGGTGGTGGTGTAACCAAAAGAACTAGGATTTTGGGGGGGAGGTAAAAATCCAGGCTGTGTTGATCTTGTCACCTCCCTGAACCTTAGTGTCTTCATCTGGGCAGTAGGGAAGCTGATAGTACCACACTCAGGAGGTTATGGTAATATGGATTACAGGGTCCACGTGAAGTACTGGAATCTTGATACTTTATAACAGCTAAATAAATGGTAGTGGATGTTAGTGCCACTATAGCATTGAGATGGGAAAGTAAGAAGCTAGGAAAATTCCTGGGGAAACTGAGATAAGAAAATTAAACAAGGCCAAAGAGTTTGAGCAACTTACAGGCAGCTGGTGTATTGCAAGACCTTATCTCCCCTAACAAAGGACACTTGAAAGAAAGTGGTTTATATCTCTTCTCCCTCTCCAGAGAATACATAGCCTCCTCCGCCATAAACCACAGGTGCAGGGGCTAGGGGGAAGGGGGGGCGGTGAGGGAAGAATGCTAATGCTAACAGAGAGCTAACACTGGAACAAAGGGAGCTCCCCCTCCCCTTACTCAGAAGAAACAGCAGGCTGTGCTGCCCCTAGGAATTTCCCCCTCTCAAATTCCCACGTTTCCCCCATGTAAATTTGCTTCTGAAAGCTCAAGGTAAGGTGGATGTTAGAGTTTTTATCCACCACCTTCTCAGATTGCTGGCCTCTGATATTAATAAAAGTGCAATTATAATCCAATCCTTGTGGTTTCAGTATCATGAATGTTATGATTATTTCTAGAGTTCAGCCTTCCCAGATTTAACAGTAACGTATTAAGGGCTGCTGGCCCCTCAGGTGTCCCAAAGAGCGTTTGGTGTCTGAGACCTGGGCCTTTCTTTTCCCAGTTCTCAGAGTTCCCGGAGAAATACGTATTTCTCTGTTTTTGCCTCTAGTGAGGCCTCTCAGTGAGTTGCGGGAAAATGGCACAGAACAGCCTCAAGGAGGTGTATCGAAGTCACAGGAAGTCTGGGTTCCCTTTGATGGACTAAGGGCCTAATTTTTCAAGGCTGGGTGGGACTGAAGGAGAATTCCCACATGGGATATCCAGGTAACTCTTAACCTCAGCTGTTGTCTTCCAGGGTCTGCGTCCATTTTGTGCTTGGGCTTTGAGGCGGTGAAGAGCCAGTCAGCCAGGGAATAAGATACAAACTGTTCAGCATGATTTACCTGGCGTGGGTGCAGGATGATCCGAGGAGGCAGGAAGCGATTGTGCCCTCAAGGGCCTCTGTCCATGCTCACACCCGGGAGCTGGGAGGAGGCCGCAGGAGGGCCTCCCAGGAAGTGCCTCTGCTAATGGGGCTAGTGGAGCAATAGGCAGGGAGGCCTCCTGAGGGGGGTCCTAAACTGAAGCTGAATGAGCCACACTTTGAAGATCAGATTGGCTGCTCCTTACTGTTTATTAGCCCCAGGCTCTTAGTAGAAACTTGCTGAGGTTTCCTACTTGGCTTCCGGAAATCAGAGGAGGATGGTGAGTGCACACTTACCCCGGAGCGTCAATGGGGGAGCAGCACCCAAGTTCAAAGTGATGAGAGCAGCCAGGGCCACCAGGGAAAGAGCCCCCAAGGGGAAGATAAATATTGCTGAGCAGAGAGTTGGAGGCAGAGGTTCAGCAGCTGCCTCCCCTCATGGCCAGCCTTGGGAAGTTTGAGTTTGACTCTTGTTATGAGAGCCGTTAGGTTTCCTGACAGGAACTCAGTGAAAGTGATTTTACTCCATAACCCACCAGTACTTGTTCTGAGCAGAGGATATAATGGGCAAAGGCCTGGAGGTATAGCACAGCGTGGGCCATGGATGGTGGGGTCCACAGGCAAGGACATTGTTGGAGGGGCCCTCTGAGCAGGGCATGGGGGGACTTTTGAATCCAGGGTTTGGGGAGATCTGTGGGAGATGGGGCCCTGAGGCAGAGAGAGATTGTGAAAGACGGGAGGATTCCTGAGACAAGGGGATAGTGAGAGACTGGGTCCTTGAGAGGCCCTATCCTATGGCAGATGGGCCTTGAATTAGGGGGACGGTGGGAGGTGAGGGGGCACCTGAGAAGGCTGGGAGATGGGCCTTGGCCCTGTGGTCCCTCTAGCCTGAGGTCCCCTTCCTGTTTCTTGGATCCCAGAGGAAGGAGAGCTGGAAGGGTAAGAAGACCTTAGCCTAGACAATCAGAAACCTAGGTTATATGAGTATTCCTGCTGTGTGACCTCGAGGAAGTCCCTGCCCTCTCTAGGCTTCTGATTGCCTACCTGTCCATGGGAGCATTTCTTACCCTGCACCTGATGAATAAAGTAGCTTCTGCAGCCTCCCTAAGGAAGGTGCAGTCTCACGCTGCCCCTCCCCCTCAGATTCAGGCACTCCTTCAGCCGTTGTTTTGTGCATTGGGCACATGCACGTATTCACTCACACTTGTGAGTTCTTAGCACCCTGGCCCTAGCTCCTCCTGAGTCACATCCCTGGGCTGTGTTAGGAAGGCCACCTTGAGGGAAGTACTACAGCTGCCCGACCAGAATGGTTAAAATTTGAAAGACTGACAATATCAAGTGTTGGCAAGGATCTAGAGCAACTGGAACTTTCATGCCCAGTGGGAATGCAGAGTGACACAAGAGCTTTGGAAAAGGTCAGGTTGTTTCAAGTAAAGCTAAACACAGTCCCTTCCATGGCCAGCAGTCCCACTCCTAGGCATGTACTGAATGTGTCATTACTAGAATGTTCCTATTCCTAGCAGCACCAACTGAAATAGCCTCCAAAGTGGAAACGACCCTAATGTCCATCAACAGGAGAATCGATGGACAGGTTATGTTATAGTCACACAGTGGAATACTATATGGCAATGAAAAAGAATAGGCTTCCAATACACACAACATGGGTGACTCTCCGAGACATGATGCTGAGAACAAGAAGTCAGACACAGGAGACAACATGCCGTAAGGTTTCATTTATACAAAGTGCAAGAACAAGCACAACCAAAGGATGGCGACAGAAAGCATATCAGTGCTCTGGAGAGGGGCTGACTGGAAAGGGGCACGAGGGAGCTTTCTGGGTGGATGGAGATGTTCGATATCTTGAACGGGGTGGGTGTAATTTTTTAGATTGTTCAGCTGTGCCCTTAACATTTGTGCGCTTCACTGTATGAAAGTTTATCTCAATAAAAAGGGAAAATAGCATAGTGACTTAGAGCTTGGATAGCCTGTACAAATCCCAGATCTGCTACCTCTCAGCTCTGTGACCTTGAGCAAGTCACTGTCCTTTCTGTGCCTCATACCTGTGAGGATTAAGTGAGTTTATACACAGAATGCTTAGAAGAGGGCAGAGCACAGAGTGGAGGCTCAATGAATCTCCACCATCATCCTCTAGTTGTCACTTTCATCACTTCCCTGGGGTCCTACTTCCTCTCGCTGGTTCTGATCCCATAATCCCATCTCCTAAAGAATTCAAGATGCCCTCCCTCTAGCTTTAGTTTGGTCTAAAACTCCATGACTTGATGATGACCCCGTGTCTCCGGGACTCCCAAGCTGGTGCCGGCCTCTCCTCCTGGCACGGCGTGAGCCCCCAGCCAGTGCGCCAGCACAGGGGACACCGCCCGCCCATGCCTCCCGTCCAGAAAGCAAGCACAACACACACCGCCTCTCTCCCCACTGATATATTTGATAATTGTCCAGAACCAGAGATGGCATCAGCCAGGGTGGGGGGACATTGAGGGGGAGTAAAAAAGAGCCCAGGGAGGGGGCTGGGACACAGTGGTGAGGAGAGGGAGAGGAACAGAGACACAGAAAAGAGGAGAGGCAGGGGCCGGGGCGGGGACAGAAGCCAGCCAGAGGTGGGGAGAGAGGGAGGGGGCCGGAGACACTTTGAGGGGGTGGGGCCAAGGTGGGGGCCATGGGGAGAGAGGGCCCCTCCCCCCAGAATACAAAATGGGGGGGACTGGAGGGGGCTGTCCTGGGCTTGCAAGGAGGGGCAGGGAGGAGATGGGTGAGGTGCTGGGGTTGAGGTCAGTAGTAGGTTTCCTTCTCCACCCAACCTGGAGAGGAGAGAAACAGACACAGAGAGAGACAGGCGTGGAGAAAAGCACAAGGAGAAAGAGAAAGACAGAAAGAAGCCAAAAGGACAGAGACACGCAGAAAGGCAGGGAGGAGGCCCAGACAGACAGGGAGAGAGGAGGTCGAAAGGGAAGGGAGAGACGACACAGAAGGGAGGCGGGGAGACAGAGAGCGAGGTTAGCATCAGACAAGCCACCATGGTGTTTCCCCGCCCCGCCTCCAGCCCTGCCTGCCTGTCCCCCCAGCCATCTCTCTGCCCTGTCCCTCTGCCCCGTCAGCCCCTCACCCCCGGGGTTCCTGCGCAGGATGAGTTTGCGGATTTCATCATAGACGAAGATGAGGAAGCTGTAGGGGAAGGCACAGAACCACCAGCTGGGCCTGTAGAGATGGGACAAGAGGAGGGCGTCAATGTGGGGCCCAAAGTGGGGATAGGAGGCAGAGTCCCAGGGGACAGGACGGGCCACGCCGAGGGGGGTTCTCCCTTGGTCCCTCCTGCCCACCAGTGAGGGGTGCCTTGGCCATGGCTGGGGAGCACCCACTATGGGAACATCCCACAGGGGTGGGGGCAGGCTTGGTGACATCAGAACAGGGGCTGCAGTGGGGGACACAGAGAAGGGGGTCCTAAGAGACACCGGGAGAGGTGGAGCCTGTGAGGATGTCCCACAAGGAAGGCTCCTCCCTGTAGGATCCTGAAGCTGGTGGTTGGGGGGCCGTCCTGGGGGTGGTGAGGGGCACTCACTTGAGAGGGTACATGCGAAGGGCCACGTCCATGCCAGGGCAGTAGGACAGGAAGGCAGCGAGGGCCGTCTCCTCAAACAACCCGAAGATCAAGATCTTGTTCCTGGAAGCACAGGCAGGGCTGGACCCAGGCAGCCCTAGCCCACCCACAGACCAGAAGCACACCCAAAGGCAGACAGAGAGACAGGCATGGAGCTACAGGGAGAGAGAGACAAAAAGAGACAGGGAGGCAGAGACAGATCCAATGGAAGATGAGGACAGAAAGAGCCAAGGACAGAAACATAGGCAGGCAGGGATGTGGACCCAATCAATCTCTCTCTCTCTCTCTCTCTCTCTCTCTCTCTTTCGCGTGCGCATGCACACACAAGAGACAGAGACAGACACGGGGGCAGGGGGCTGGAGACTCCAAGACAGGCAGGTCACTGGAGATAGAATCAACTCAGAAACAAAAATGGAAACACCCCGAGGGGAGGGCAGACGCGCCAGCCCCACGCAGCCCTCACTTCATGCCCTGCTGGAAGACCGAGTTCCTGCGGGTCTTGCAGATGATCAGGTCAGCCCACTGGACGACCACGATGCTCACAAAGAAGGCTGTGTGGCACGTGAACTCCACTACTTTCCTTTGCTCGTACGTCTGCAAGAGCCATGACCAGCATGCAGGACGGCAGTCAGTGAACTTTGAAGTGCTGGCCGTGGCCCTGGCCCCCAGCCTCCTTGTCTGCACCCAGGGCAAAGCAGGGACTCTGTCCCGATGGGGTCCCACAGGACCTCAGAAATGTCTCCCCTCTTAGGCTGACAACCCCATGGGAAGAGTCAGGGATGTACTAGGAAGGAGAGGTTAATGGTGACCTCGGTTGTCAGTCAGGGGCCAGAGACCATCCCTGGCATGGAGGGGAGTGGGAGGGGCTGAGGACCCCGTGGGCCTCCTCAGGGGACGGGCACTGGTGAAATTTGAAGGGACAGACAGAGATCGGGAGGAGGGCAGTGAAGGTGTCTCGCCCGGTGGGGCAGGGGCAATGGCTGGACCTCGAGCAGCAGGAGGCCTCTTGCCCAGTGAGGGTCTTGGCATGGGCCCGGGGGCAGAAGGGGAGACAGGAAGCAGGACAGCTTGCCCGGGGCACACTGACCAGGAGCTCCTGCTAGACCGTGGGGCCCGACCCCACTCACCCACTGCTGCCCGTAGCTGTCCTCAAGGTCATTGACGGTGCGGTCATCCCAGTTCAACCGGATGCCCACCAAGTTGCCAGGCAGGAAGCCATTTTCTGCCAGGATTACAAAGTAGGAGAAGAAACCACCGAGAGCCTGGATCATTCCTGGGGGGAGGAGAAAAGGGAAATGAGGAGAGGTTCAAGCCGGGGCAGACAGCTAGCCCACTGCACTCCTGGGGCCCCTTGAGACCCCCACCAGGAGGCAGGTGGGCCACCTCCATCCTCTTGCCGAGACACCACCTGGGGCAAGCTTCCAGAGGGCGGTCTGGTGGAGAGCACCGGGGATGGGCCTCTGGGACAGAAGCCTCAGGGAGAGGGCTCTCCCCAGAGGGACAACCTGGGGCTCCCTCCCACCTGAGCCCGGCCACCTGAACCTCAGGAAATCCCCAAGGACCCTCGGGCTTGAGTCTTATGGGACCCGTATGCAGAAATGACTTCCCCAGGCTTCTAATCACCACCATGAAGCCCCTGCTCACTGGAACACTCCCAGTGACGGGGAGCTCAGCACCTTTGAGGCCCTGCACACATCATCTCCAGCAGCAGGTTGAGGAAGAGGCAGAGAGAAATGAGAAAGGGGTTCACTCCTACACTAGAGCTCACAGGCTGGTCTCTTCTTTCCCATCATGGAGGTGGGGGAGCAGTGGGCTCTGGCGTGGCCAGCCAGGGCCAGCCCTGATCTGCCGCCACTCAGTGTCCTGCGTGCTCCCCGGGTGCACCCCCTCTAGGCCGGGCCTCCACCGTGGCGACCACCACCCATCTGTAAGCCACTCCTTCCAAATCTCCCGCACCGAGCCCTGCTTGTACTCCACTCATTCAACACAAGGCTTCTGAGTGCCCACCGTGGGCCAGGCACTGCTCTAGGCCCATCTAGCCATAGTCAAGACAGGCTCCCCAGATCCTCACCAATCTGCCCATAGGCCATGCTGATGAGCCTCTCGTTAACCAACTTGTCAGTGCGCGGATTCCTGGGCTGTCTCTTCATGATGTCACTCTCGGCAGCCTCGTATGCCAGTGAGATGGCAGGGACCTGGGCAAGGAAGGCCGGGTGAGCTGGGGAGTGAGGGGCCCTGCCCTCCCAGGGCCCTGGGAGTGGCCGGAGGCTCACCATGTCCGTGCCCAGGTCGATGCAGAGGATGGTGATGGTGCCCAGAGGCAGCGGGATGTTGGCCATGATGAACAGCAGGAACGGTGTGATCTCGGGGATGTTGCTGGTCAGGGTGTAGGCGATAGATTTCTTCAGGTTGTCAAAGATCAGGCGGCCTGTGGTGGGGACAGGTTCAGACCTCGGGATCAAACCATGACACCCTATCCCCTCCTCTGCCCCAGTCCACGTGTCCTAGCTAAGCCATTCCCTCACCTGCCCACCCGTCTGCACACAAGTATAAGCGTGTTGCCCCGTTCAACCATTCTTTGAACTACACCGTCTTTGGAAGACTGTTTGGCAGTTTCTATTACAGTGAAACACCCCCTTCTCTATTGACCCAGTCATCCTGCTCCTAGGTTTATACCCAAGAGAAATCAGTGCTTATGTCCACAAAAAAAGCAAGTGTGAATGCTCACTGTAGCATTAGTCACAATAGCAAACACCAAAACCAACCCCAATGTCCATCAACTGGGGAGTGGATAAATAAGCAGGTCCACCCATGTAATGGAATACCCCTCAGCAAGGAAAAGGAACAAGCTCTGCACACCCAGCTCCATGGATGAATCTCAGAGGTGTGACATTGAGGGAAAAAAGCCAGACAGAAAAGCATTCATATTGCAGGATTCCATTTAGTTGAGATTCAAAAGCGATCTGTGATGCCAAAAGTCAAGATAGCGGCTATTTCTGGGAGGAGAGGTACAGACGGGAGACCTGATGAAACCTTAATAGGGGCTGGAAATGCTCTCTTAATCGGGGTCTGGCAGTTGCACTGATGTGCACATGTGTAAAAGTCACCAAGCTGCCCACCTTACTGTACGTACGTCATAGCCCAATAAAAATCCAATCAGTACAGTGTGTATCGAGTACAAAGAAACTCAAGATGACTCCAGCCAGCCTCTCCCTCCACCTTCTCTCATGTGCTGAGAGACGTGAGCTACAAGATATGTCATAAAGAAGGGGCGAGGAGGCCCGCGGCATGCAGGTGTGGATGGTCTGATCAGCGTTGTGTAAAATGAGAGGCTTAGGTGTTCCCACCTGCTACTGCTTTCCCTCTAATGCACGTGTTGCTCCCCACAGACTAGTGGTATCTCATCCTAAAATATTTACGGGTGAAATAACGACTTAAATGCTCTTGAATGTGATCCAGAGTGTGTAGTGGTTGGGGGGGGGAGTTTAACAAGATTGGCATGAGCTCGTAACTGTCAGTGCTGGGTGATATGGTGGCAGTGGGGCCGCTGTGCCATTTGCTCAGCTTTGGGGTATACCTGGGGTTTCCCCTCCTGGAAGTTCGACTTTGTTTTTGTCACTCCAGAGAGGCCTTCCTTGTCCACCCTCTCTAGGTAGGACCCCCATTACTATCTGCCATAGCACCCTGCTTGCTTTCTTGGCACTTGTCACAATTGGTAATTAGGTCTTTATTTGTTTGTGAACTTAAGGCTATCTCTCCAGCTCCTTGAGGACAGGGACCATGCCTGCTCGGCCCACTGCTGTGTCTCTAGCCCTCGTGTGATGCGCAAAGTAGGAGCCCAGTAAATGCCTGGAAGGTGTGAACACGTGTATCATCAGTGTGTGCACTGCACATGCATAGATGTCTTGGGGGGGTAACAAAGGGTTAGCCATGGTGTCCTCTGGGAGGTAGGAGACAAGGGATAGGGCATTTAATTTGTCACTTTAGGCTCAGCTTCCCTGTTTGAATTCTCTCTTATGCATTACTTTTTACACTGGGGACATTTCAAATGAGGGAGAGAGAAACTGGAAAATGCACCAAGCACGAACAGTGATTATTTCTGGATGATGAGGTTACGGGTGATTCCAATTTTCTTCTTCATGCTTTTCTACATTTTATATAATTATATTGTATTACTTTGATGATCAGAATAAAATTAAGTGTGAACAAGCCCCATCTGTGGCCATATCGAGGCCCGTTAGCCGGTGGAGCCCGGGCCGTGTGGCCCAGGCTCCCAGCGCCCAGCTTCCTACCGACTCCTTCACCCAGCCTCGCCTTTGCGCACTCAGCTCTCCCGCCTGCAGCTCCCTTCCCCAGCACTACCTATGTGAAAATGCCCACGTGGTCCTTGGGACTCGGCAGTGACCCCTGTCCACTCTGGGAGGCCTCCTTGACCCTGACCCCAGGCTGTGAGGGGCATTCTGAGGGGCCCGCTGTTCCCGTGGTTGCACTTACGAGTATTTAAAAAATGCTTGCGAATCTGCCCACCAGACTGGCCCTGTGCTGGGCAATGCTGGGACCCAGAAGTGCATCAGCTCAGTTCTGCCCCCAGGAAGCCCCCAACCCCTGGGGGAGAGAGACTGAAAAGGAGATGCTCAGGTTCCATGGGGCCAGTGGGATTCCGGGATCGACTCCCTGTCGTGCACCCCACGGCGGCACTGGCCTATCCCCCTTCCCCTTCTCCAGCCTCACGCAGGGATCCCGGTCCCCAGGGCCACCTGGCCACTCACCCTCCTCCACACCCGTGACGATGGAGGCAAAGTTGTCATCCAGCAGGATCATGTCCGCTGCCTGCTTGGAGACATCAGAGCCGGCAATGCCCATGGCCACCCCAATGTCAGCCTTCTTCAGGGCAGGGGAGTCGTTCACACCATCCCCAGTCACGGCCACGATTGCTCCCTGCAGAGGGAGAGGGTAAGGAGTTCACCCAAAGGCCTGGCCCCAGACCCCTCTCCTCAAGGCCCAGGAGCCCAGGCCCCGGCCCCCTCCCACGAGGGGCCCCAGCCCCAGCCCACCTGTCTCTGGCAGCCCTCCACAATGATGAGCTTCTGCTGGGGAGATGTTCGGGCAAAGACGATCTCAGTGTGGTTCTGCAGGATCTCGTCAATTTGCTCGGAGGTGAAGTCCTTGAGGTCGGTGCCATGGATCACACAGGCCTTGGCGTCCCTGAGAAGAGCAGAGAGTGGTCGGCACGCATGGGGAGTGGTGCAGTGGCTGATGGACAGAGAGTCAGGCAGGCCAGACCCACAGACAGGAGAGGCTGGTCACCAGGCTCTGAAGCTGAGGCCCAGGGAGGCTGAATGATTTGTTCAAGGTCATGCAGCCCAGCAGTGGCAAAGGCGGGGTGTGAAACTGCCCCACCCTGGAGGAGGAACAGGACCCAGGCGCTGAGTCAACAGAGGAGGCCCAGAAGGAAGGGGACCTGCCATCCTGTGGGCAGCAAGGCTGAGCCAGTGGGTGGCACTCACCGGGGGTTGACCTGGCTGACTGGAATGTTGAGCCGGGCAGCGATGTCCTCCACAGTCTCGTTGCCCTCAGAAATGATGCCCACACCCTTGGCAATGGCCTTTGCGGTGATGGGGTGATCGCCTGTGACCATGATGACCTGCGGGCATTGTTTGGGGAAGGTCCAGCCTCCGCACTGGCCTCTGGGCCACTGGCCCTGCCTCCCCAGTTGCCCCAGGCCGCACCTTGATGCCTGCACTTCGGCACTTGCCCACTGCATCGGGGACGGCGGCTCGGGGCGGGTCGATCATGGACATGAGGCCCACAAAGCAGAGGTTGTCTGTGGTGAAGTTCACATCGTCGCAGTCGAAGGCAAAGCCCTTGGGGAACTGCTCCTCGGGCAGGTAGTAATGGCAGAAGCCTGGTGGCAGAGATGGTGTGGGGCATGAGGGCTCCAGTCCCAGGCCCCCCTGCTGCCTGCCCCACAGCTCCTGGCCGTCCCGTCCCAGCAGTCCTCTCCCAGGGGGCCAGTCGGCCAACGTCCCTTTCCTAAAGATGCCATCCTTTCAATGCTCAGCATCACTAGCCATCAGAGAAATGCAGATCAAAACCACCATGAGGTACCACCTCACACCGGTCAGAATGGCCATCACAAACAGATGAACAAACAACAGGTGCTGGCGAGGCTGTGGAGAAAAGAGAACCCTAGTCCACTGTTGGTGGGAATGCAGACTGGTGCAGCCACTGTGGAAAGCAGTGTGGAATTTCCTCAAAAAGCTGAAAATGGAACTGCCTTTTGATCCAGTGAATCCCCTGCTGGGATTATACCCTAAGAACACCAAAACGCCAATACAAAAGAACCTATGCACCCCAATGTTCATAGCAGCACAATTTACAATAGCCAAGTGTTAGAAGCAACCTAAATGCCCATCAGTAGATGATTGGATCAAAAAATTATGGTACATATACACAATGGAATACTACGCAGCAGAAAGGAAAAAAGAACTACTAAACTTCGCGACAGCATGGATGGAACTGGAGAGCATTATGCTAAGTGAAATAAGCCAGGGGGCGAAAGACAAATACCATACGATCTCACCTATAAGCGGAACCTAACCAACAATACAAAGATGCAAGGAAAATAAGACCAGCAACACTGAAAGGAAAAGAAACCAACAGAGACAAGAGGGAAGGAGGGAGCGGGGGCCGGGAAAAAGGAAGGGAAGGGGAAAGTCAAGGAACATATAGCACGGACTCATGGACAAAACCAAAGGGGAAGAGCTGAGGGAGGGAAGGAGGGAGGGGGCAAGGGAAAGTGGTGGCGGGGGAGCAGAGACAAATGTATTTAAAAAAAATAAAATAAAAGAGAGCTGGAAAAAAAAATCCAGCCTGAGAATTACAAAAAAAAAAAAAAAAGACGCCATCCTTTCCTGTTCGTTCGTTCATTCGTTCATTCATTCATTCATTCACGGTGTATTCTGGGAGGCCCTACGCTGGGCAGCATCATGCCCTCCTTGACCCCACGTGGTGCGCACCCAGCACACGCTCGCCCAAGCCGCCAAGCTCAAGGTAGGCGTTCTGGAAGGCTTCCTTCATCTCCTCGTCCAGCGGCTGCTCCTTGCCCTGCAGCAGGATGGTGGAGCAGCGGTCCAGGATGCGCTCAGGGGCGCCCTTCATCACCAGCAGGTACCGGTTGTCATTGGGGTCCTCGGTCTCATGGATGGAGAGCTGCGGGGAGAGGGGAGGGTGGGTGTGCCCAAGCCTCGCCCGGGCGTGGAGGCTGCCTGCCTGGCTGGGAGAGGACCCCCTGGGCCCACCCAGATCCACGGGCGCCAGGACAGACAGCTCCCACAGAGGACGCTGTCTAAATCTCTACCTGAGAGATCATCTGTTGGTCTCTCGCAGAGATCTCTCTGTTCGCCCCTGCCCGTTTCTGCCTCTGTCTCACAGACATTTCTGGCCCCTTGTGTTTCTCACAGAAACATTGGCTGTCCGTCCGTAGGACATGTGCCTCTCTGCCTGCCCTATGCCTCCCCCAACACCTTATCCTGCATCTCACCAAATCTGGTTGGCTCACCTCCAAAATACACCAGATTCTGATTTCTTCTCACCTCCCACCTCCAGGGCCCTCATCCGGCCACTATCATCTCTCAGGTGGAACATCGCAGTGGCCTCCACACTGAACCCCCGTTTTGGCCCTCCCCACCCCATAGCATTTCCTCCGCAGAGCAGCCAAGAGGACCCTTTGAGCGATGTGAGCTAGTGGAAAATGGTGCAGCCACTTTGGAAAAGAGTCTGGCCGCTCCCTAAAAGGTTAAATACAGAATTACCATATGGTCTGGTCATCCCTAGGTCTACACCCCAGAGACATGCAAACTATGTCCACACAGAAACTTGTCATGTGGACGTTTGCAGCAGCGTTATTCATAGTAGCCAGCAGGAGCAGAAAGATTAGGTTCAACCCACACAATGGAAGGTTATTCAGCCACAAAAAGGAATGAAACGCTGATCCATGGTACAGCGTGGATGAACCTTGAAGATGTTATGTTGAGTGAAAGAAGCCAGGTACAAAAGTCCATATACTGTAGGATTCCATCTATATGAAATGTCTAATATAGGCAAATCCATAGAAACAGAAGGTAGATTAGGGGTTGCCTAGGGCTTGGGGAGATACGGGAGGTTGGGGGCAATAGCTGAGGAATGTGGGGTTTGTTTCTGAGATGATAAAAATTTGCCAAATTTTGTAGATGACTGCACATATCCGTGAGTATACTAAAACTATTGAATTGCACACTTTAAAATGGGTGATCTATGGTGTGTGAATTGTATCTCAATAAAGGGGCTTGAAAACGTGAGTCAGGTCCCATCTCTCTTCTGCTCACAGCCCACCTGTGGCTCCTGTCCCCCTAAGAGTCGCACCCAAGTCCTCCCCACAGCCCGCAAGGCCTGATGGGACCCGCCCTCAGCTCCCACCACCCTCCCTGGCTCACTGCTCTGCCACACTGGCTGCTGGCTCTTGTTGAAACATGGCAACACACGCCTGGCCTGCCCTAGGGCCTTGGCACACACTATGCCTGCTGCCGAGAACCCTTCCCTCGGCTCCCTCCTTCAGCACGATGACTGGCAGACATATTCCGTGTTTCCTTGTGCCTTTGTCCTTGTCTGTTTTCTAGCACTAGGGAGTGAGTTCCACGAGAGGGACTTCACCCGCTGCTGTAGGTGTCCCCAACACCTAATACCGCATGCCTGACACAAGGTGGCTGCTCAAAAACTTATTTATTGAATGAATGAACGAGATCCCTGGCTGGGTCCCACTCTCTGCTACAAAAAGAATTTTACTCCTTTGCTTCCTGCTCCAGCAGAGACTTCAGGTCTGTTCCTCTCCCCGCAAAATGGATACTCTCATTCTGATTTCACAGATGGGGAAACCGAGGCTCTGCAAAGATTAGTAACCTGCCTAAAGCAGGAGGACAGTGGGGTGGAGCTGACTGCTAAGGCATCATAGAGAAAGTGAGGTCCAGGTCGGCTCCCACGGAGAGCCCTGGGTACCTGGTATTTGTTGGTGGAGTTAAAGGGGATCTCGGCCACTTTCTTATTACGTTCCCGCATCAGCTTCACGGAGCCGGAGGACAACTCAATGCACTTCAGCAGGGCGGACTCAGAGGCATCACCAGCCACATCCCTCTGGGGAGAGAGGGCTGTCAGGGCACAGCAGCAAGGGTGGGCACGGGCAGGCCAAGGCCAGGCGGTGGCCGGACCCACCTTGAGCACAGGGATGTTGTCCTGACCACCCTTGAAGACGGCTCGATTGCAGAGTCCGGCGATATGGGACAGGGCCACCCAGGTGTGTGAGCTCTTGTCGAACGAGGTCCCTGAAGGAGTCACGTGTCACAGCTGGGGACATCTTGAGGCCAGGCCCCTTCAGTCCCCCCCTCCTCGGCCTGGGCCCCACCCTCACCTGACTGGTCCTCAGTGGTGTCGGCCTCGTGGATCTGATTGTCAAACCACATGTGGGCAACGGTCATGCGGTTCTGAGTGAGGGTCCCTGTCTTGTCGGAGCAGATGGTGGATGTGGAGCCCAGGGTCTCCACAGCCTCCAGGTTTTTCACAAGGCAGTTCTTCCGTGCCATGCGCTTGGCGGTCAGTGTCAGACAAACCTGCAGGTGCACGAGGGCAGGCAAATTACAGGTAGAGCCAGAAGGCAGGGCTGGACCAGCAGTATGAGTGCCAACGACCCAACTTCCCAGCCCAGGGAGAATTCTGGATGGCTTGCAAGAGAGAATGGTGTCACTCAGCAATTCCACCCCAAGGCACAAACCAAGAGCAGAATGCATTTCGAAAGATATGTACTGGGATGTTCATCGCAGCAGCAGTTAGAATAGCTTCAAAATGAAACAAACCAAATGTCCGCTAATGGCAGAAGGGATAAATAAATTGTGGAATAAAGATGGAATACTATATGTCAATGAAAACGAGCAAGTTACTGCTGCCTGGTAACTGCATGGGTCGAGTTCAAAAACATGATGTTCAGCAAAAAAGAGCCAGAAACGAGTTCACAGTGAATTATTCCAGTTGATATGAAGCAGGAAGATTGTGCTTCCGCAGGTCCTTTCCCTGGGGTTGGGCCGGGGGCTGGCGAGGTCCTGAGGGGGCTACGGGGGAACTGGAGCCTGGTGCAGCTGACATGGGTGTGTTTCTTTTGCCCAGACTCTCAGGCGATACATTCATATGTGCAACACTTTGTGTGTATATTATATGCCAATGAAAAGCCTTTGACCTAGAGTAGCTCTGAATATGCTAAAACGGAAAACCTGCCTGCTGATACATTAGAAATCAAAGGGAAACTAGCATTCCTAAGATGGTCCCTTCCATGTACCTGAAAACTCTTACTAACACGCTGCAATATGCCCACACCTGCCGAGAGGAGAGCAGAGAGCACACATCTGCAATGGGGCTGACGGCTGGACACTGAAAAGGGGGATGTTATTTTATTTTTAAACTATTTTAATGTATCCTTTAGATTTGCTACCACTACAGTGTACTTCTTAAATTTGTAAGTTATCTTTGAAAAGTGATGAGATGTTGTCAGCCCTTTATGCCTTGTAGTGTTTCTCAAGATTTTTGTTTGTTCATTTGTTTGTTTGTTTTGTTAGTGAGGATCTCCGAGTCACAGGACCCTCCTCATTTGAGATTTAGGAGGCTCTGCCCCCAGGACCCAAGTTGCCCTTATCAAGAACACTGATAAGGGCGACTCTCTCCTCCCGCAGACCCAGGAGTCCATCCATACTCCAGCCCCTCCTCACTCTGGCCTGGGGGGATGAACCCCAGCCCCCCTCTCTCCCTGGACCCAGAGCTCTGGGCCCCCAGCCCTCCCTTCCCCAACCCATTGTAGGGGTCCAGGCCTTACAGTGACAGTGGCCAGCAGGCCCTCTGGGACATTGGCCACGATGATGCCGATGAGGAAGATGACAGCCTCAAGCCAGGTATATCCGAGAATGAGGGAGAGGATGAAGAAGGAGACACCCAGGAAGACGGCCACGCCAGTGATGAGCTGGATGAAGTGCTCAATCTCGATGGCGATGGGCGTCTTGCCCACCTCCAGCCCTGAAGCCAGGGTGGCGATACGGCCCATGACAGTGCGGTCCCCGGTGGCCACCACCACGCCCCGAGCCGTGCCTATGGGGCCAAAGGGGAGTAGACGGAGTGGGCGGACGGCTCAGTGAAACTAAGAGGGACCCAAGCCCCCAAGACACATACATCCCTCTGTCTGGACGAGCTCAGCTCCAACCTGGTGCCCCTGCCGCACCCCACCTCACCTTCCACGCAGTTGGTGGAAAAGAAGGTGATGTTCCGAGTCTCCAAGGGGTTGTCATGTGTGCAGTCGGGAGAGCGCGTCTGGGGTTCTGATTCACCGGTCAGGGAGGAGTTGTCCACCTGGGGGGAGCAGCGGAGAGAGGGCTTACCCTGGGGCGTGGGATCAGGGGCCCTTTGTCCAAAGGAGACTGGGGCTGAAGCCTCTATCCCTTGAGGTCACAGCTAGAAGCCTGGGTGCCGGGCTAGGTGAGTGATGTTTGAAAGGCCAGCGGTTGGGTTTCTGTAGATGAGGAGTGGACAGGGCTTCCTGCTAAGGTGTAAGGTAACTATGGGTCTGAGAGGCAGGGACAGGGGCCTGGACTCCTGGTCTGAGGGAGGAAGGCTGGGGGTCTGGCCTCCTGGGTCGGAGGGAGGAGGGCTGGGGGCCCCACTCCTGACCACTTCATGAAGGGCAGAGCTAGGCCCCAGGCCCACCTTGCAGCCGTGGGCTGAGATGATACGCAGGTCTGCTGGGACTCGGTCTCCGCCCTTGATCTCTACCAGGTCCCCGACCACCACATCCTCAGCGTTCACCTGCATCTTCTCACCTTCCCGGATCACCAGTGCTTGCTGGGGAAGGATGGAGAAGAGTCACCTGCCGGACTCCCTCTGCCTGGTGTCACTTGGCACGGCCCCCACCCACCTGTCCACCCCTACCCGGCCACTTCCTGGGCACCCCTCACCTGAGGAACCATGTTCTTGAAAGACTCCATGATCTTGGAGCTCTTGGCCTCCTGGTAGTAGGAGAAGCAGCCGGTGATGATGACCACAGCCGCCAGCACAATGCCCAGGTACAGCTGCGGGGAGATGCCCGGTCACAGGTGCTGCAAGCCACCCCCAGCCCCAGCCTGGGTTTGTGGAATCTTGGGAGGGAGCTTTGCATCAATGAGGGTCTGTAATCATCTGTCTGATCCCAGGGTTGTGTCCATTCGAAATTCTGTGTGTCTGAGTCTCTCTTGTCTGTGAGTCTGTCTGCCTGTCCACGTTTGAGTCCCTCTTTCTGAGCATGAGTATGTTTGGGTGTCTGGGTCTGTCTAACTCTGTATTGTGCATCCATCTGTCTGTCTTTCTGCCTATGGCAGAGGACCTGGGGGTGTGCTATTACCTGTCTGTGTGTTTAGGTCAGTGTGTCTGTCTGACTGCCTGCATGCCTGGCTTTAAATTTACAGGACTATTTGTGTTTGAGTCTCTGTACGTGCATCTCTGTCTGCCTGGCTGTCTTCCTGCTTAGGTTTTAATTTTGGAGAATGCCGTCTGTGCCCCAGCCTCATGTTTGCTCGCAGCTCTGTGAGTGTTCGAGTTCCAGTGTCTGTCTTGCCATCAGTTTGTCTGCCTGTTTGTGCCTGTGTGTCTGAACTAGGTGGCAGCATGATTGTGTCCAGGCGTGATTGCACTGACCCTCTGCACATGTGCGTGTGTGAGTGTGCATGAAAGAATCTGTATGTAATCAGTGTTTGGGTCTGTGTTTATAGGTACGCCATCTATTGAGACCGTGTCCCTGTGTGTTTCTACATGAGCACACTCTCCCTTTGTGTATCTTTCAGGCCATGCCCACCTGGTGGTGTCTGTCCCCAAGGCCACTGCGATCACACAGCCTTGGGAGGGAGCCCCAGCTTATGTGTCCTGCTGTGTGCTCTTGGGCAAGGAACTTGGCCTCTCTGAGCCTCCGTGTTCCTTGTGCCTTCTCTGGTGTTTTCATGAGATGATTGTGAAAGGTAAATGAGAAAAAGGAGAGGAGTGGGCTTCAAAAAGTCTAAAGGGACAAGGAGAAGTGCCCTTGTGCAGAGCCGAGCAGAGGGCACTCACGTTGTCCCCAGAGGGATCGTCCTCCGTGCCCGCCTGGATGCCGTAGGCCAGGAAGCAGAGGATGGCCCCAATCCACAGCAGGATGGAGAAGCCCCCGAAGAGCTGGCGGCAGAACTTGACCCACTCGGGGGTGGTGGGCGGCGGCGTGAGTGCATTAGGCCCGTCCCGGGCCAGGATCTCCTGGGCTTTGCTGTGGGTCAGACCCTTAGGGACACAGGATGCACACAGAACCATCCCTGAGCATCCCTGGCACCCCAACACTTCATGACCCCCCAGGGCCCAGGGTCAGCCCCAGCCCCTGCCCCCAGCCCCTGCCCCCAGCCCGCCGCACCTGCACGCAGTCTGTGTTGTATTTCCGGCAGACCTCTTCCACTGACATCTTGTGCTCTGTCTGAGGAACAAGAGTTTGGGGGGAGGCATGTGAGTGTCGAGACCCTCAGGGGTGGGGTGGGGTGGGGCCTGCTCTGGGACACTGTGCTGTGCAGGGGGTGGGGCTTACCATGGCCACCTCCTTCTTGAGGTCGTCCATGTCCCGGCGCTCCTTAGCCTTGCTCTTCTTGGGCGAGCCCTTGTCATCTTTCTTGTCCTGCGAGGTGGCGATACGATAGCTGTCAGAGCCACCAGACTGTGGGCGAGAGGGGATTACAGGGGGACACCGGCCCTCCGAGCTCACTCTCACCCTGTCCTGTGTCTCTGGGCAGGGGGCTGGCTTGGGGGTCTCCGTCTGTGTCTCTGGGTAGGTTTCCCTCTGGCTATGAGTGTCTCTCAAACCTGTGAGTCTTGTCTTGGCCGACGGGCCTCACCATCTCTGGCCCTATGTGTCCTTGGGTCTCTTTCCCTGAGGGTCTCCATCTGGGTTAATCTGTGCTTCTCCCTCTCTGTTTCTGTGTCCATATCTGTGAGCTCCTTCCCTTCTGTCCTGTGTGTCTTCTTATCTCTGTGTGTTTCCTTCTGTCTCTTTCTTCCCCTCCCTGGGCCTGTCTAACCTTCTGAGTGTCTCTTGCTGTGCCTGTCTGCCTGTCTCTCTTGTCTGTCTGGGTCTGTGTTTGTGCCTTTCTGTCTTGTTCTCTTTTGTGCTTCTCTGTCTTCTTCTATCTCTTTCTCTCTCCATCTTTCTATCTCTGTGGCTATTTCTATTCCTGATCACTCTCCCTTATCAGTTAATGTCTGTTTCTCTCTCTCTCTGTCTCTGGGTCTCTCTGCACTTTTGTCTCTCTATGATTTTTGTTTCCCTCAGCTCTCTGCCTCTTTCTGTCTCTCACACAATGTCTGTCTCCATTTCTTGAACTATATCTGCTGAGTGCAGCTGAGTTTGTCCCTCTGGGTTCCTATCTCTCTCCAAGTTGATGTATTGGGATCTCACACTTTCTCTAAGTGTCAGTATTTTATGTCTCCACATCTTTCTCCATCCTTATATCTACCTCTCTCTGTCTTGTGTCTCTGTCTTCATCGCTCAAGCTATCTCTCCTCTGTGATGCTCAGTGTGTCCCTATATCTGTCCATCCCTCACTGTCTCACTCTGCAGTCTTCCTCTCTATCCCTGTGTCTGTCTGTCTCTGCGTCCATCTCTGCATCTCTGTCCCTCCAGCCCCAGCTCTCCTGTATGTTTGCTCTCCCATCTTCTCCCTCATCTCTTTCCCTGGGCCTCACTCCCCAGCCCCATGGATATCTCAGTCTCTGTATCTCATGAGACCAAGCAAATCTTGGGAGACAGCCAGTCCTGAGGGCCTTGATTGACAGGCTGTGGGCCCTGGCCTCTCTTCTGAGGGCTGGTGGGAGCCACAGACAGATTGGAACAGGAGGTGGGTACAGTCAGGCCTCTGCAGGGGGACATAGTGGGAGCTGGCTGGGGTTTGGGGTACAGAAGAGCAAGAGGCAGAAGCCCTGGGCCTGGCTTGGCTAGATTCTGTGTGAGGGGGAGTGACTGAGGTTCCAGTCTGGCAGCCCGGGCAGATGGGGAAGGCAGTGTCCTGGGACGGGGATAGGAGGGGAGGGGTGAGGCCAGGTGCTGGTAGAGAGCCGCTGACAGATCCAATGGGCCCACGGCCAAGCCGGGATCCCAGGCTCAGCGAGGCTCAGAGATAATCTCCTTGTGACCTTGTAGAGGGCTGAGCTGCCTGCTGTCTGACCCCAGACCAGAGGTTGAGCTGGGGGACTCCTGGAGGGGCTGCAGCCCAGAGTCTCTAAGAGGTTTGCAGGGGGTGGGAGAGAGGCTTGGCCCTGGGCCAGCCCTGCAGCAGCACTGCGTCTGACAGGGAAGCACAAAGGCTTGGGGGACAGTGAGGACACTCCTCCATCCCTTGTCCCAGGACAGGTTTCGGCCTCTGTGGAGAAGTGGACCCATGGATGTGGAGAGTTGTGGAGATAACAGCTCATGGGGTCAAGGCAGAGACATGAAGGGGAGGCAGGAAGGAGAGATGGGAGCCTGGCAGGAGTGGGGAAGAAAACCAGCTGCTCAGCTCTGAAGCCTTAGGGAGGCTGAGGAGCTGATGCTTGGGTCCCTCAGAGGCCTAGGAGTGGGTCCTGGACTCCTGGGTCTGAGGGGGAGGGACTGGGGGCCCAGACTCCTGGGTCTGAGGGAGGAGGGGGCTGGGACACCTACGCTCTTGCTTGTTCTTGCCATGACCAGGCTCCCATGGGGGTGGGCATCCGTCTGTTAGAGGGGGAGCTGAGGCTTTCCCAGTGAAGGCACAAGGCCCACGTGGGTGCCCTGGGGGACAGAGCACCTCTGAGGGTGGGGGAGGGAGCATGCCTGTCTCACTGCAGGCTGCCCCTGTGGCTCCTTGCCATTTTCTGTGCTGCCTGCCTCCTCCTGAGGCCCTCAGCTCACACAGCCTCTGTACCTTGTCCAGGCTGTTCCACCCCCTCTTAGGGTGTCTGGGGCATCATCTCTAAACATCTGTCCCTCAACTTCCCCTATTGCCCTCTGCCTCCTCTTCCCATCATCCAGGCTGAGGCAGGTTGTGTCTGGATAACACATGTCTGTCCTTGGGTTGCCTCATCTCAGCCTCAGTGTCTCTCTTTGTCGCTCTATGTCTCACCCATGTCTCTCTGCCCATGTGTCTCTTTCTTTGTCTCTATATCTGTCTCTTTCTCCCTGCCTCTTTTACACCATCTCTCTGTCTCTGCATTTCTCTCTGTCTTCCCATGTCTCTGTCTCTGTGTCACGGCTTCCTGTGTCTAAACCACCTCACTTCTCTACTTGTCTCCATTTCTTTCCCTAAGTCTCTTCACCTCCCCCCTCCCAGTTCCTTCTCTAAGGCCTTTAGCCTCAGTCTTCTTCTCCATCTGCCCGTGGTCTCCCCTCCCTTCATCCCACTTACCTGGAAGCATCACTGACTGCCATCTCCCCCGCCCTCTCTCCCAGTCCTCTCCCCAGCCATTTCTTCTCCCCATTCCCCCTCACCCACCCCAGTCCGCAGATCTGTAGCCCCATCCCCCACCTCCATCCCTGGGCCCATCAGCCTTCATCCGCCATCTTTCTTATAGTCCTCACAGTCCCTTCCCATTAGCCTCTCCCATCCACACCCTCTCTCTTCATCCCACCCGCCTCCTTCCCCCACTCCTTCCCCCGTGGCCCCGCCCCAGACACGCAGGGAGGAATCCAGGGCTGCGGCGGGGTCAGGTGGTCAGCCAGGAAAGGAGACGGCATCTGGTGGAGAGACTGGCAGACAGACAAGGACACACGGACACCGAGACAAGGGCAGCGAGAGGCATGCACAGACCCCCCCACCGCCACCACACACTAGCAAACATGCACCCTCAGCAAGGCACTCAGTCTCCCCGCCACGGTTCTCCTGCTCCTCCCAGCCCTCAGTGTCTGCTACCCCAGATCAGAGGCTGGACACAAACCGCAGCCCCAGGCCGCACTGCACCGAACTGCAGAGCCCCCCCACCCAGGCCTGGAAGGAGAAAGAGAGGTCATCTGGCCCCCACCAGGCCAGGGAAGCAGAGGGGCTTCAACACCCCCAGACACAAGCACCAGCTAGCAGACACACCCAGAGATGGTTATGGGCAGTCACACACAACCCCGGGGTACACAATCGCAGGCAGATGGGGCTCCCAGGCCGAACAGGGCCAGGAGCTCACACGCGCGCACATGCACACGCACACACACACGCATGACTGAGTATGTCCGGCATCGGGGCAGCCAGAGATGCCGCGGACCGGTCCGTGCCCCGAGGACGGCAGACAAAGACACAACAACATGCGCCACGGACCCCCACGACCCAGGCGGTCCGCGCACACACTCAGTCAGAGACACAACCACAAGCGCCGGCCAGGTCAGCGGGCTCAAGGGGTCCCCGCAGACCTGGCCCCGGAGCGCCGGGGTCCCGGAGTCCCCACTCCCCGCCGACACCCAGTGTCACTGGACCCACTATGTCGTACACACGCACCGCCCGGCTGGACCCGAGCACCTACCCCCATCTTGGCGGCTTCGGGGGGTCAGGGGCCGGCGGGTGGGGAGGGGGCCGGGGCAAGGGCCTCGGGGTGGGCTCAGGCGCGGGGTCGGGCTGGGGGCTTCTGCAGCGCCCGCGCCTCGGTCCGCGCGTCGGTCTGGCCGTCAACCCTACCGCACAGGGTCTGCAGCGGCCGCCGCCTCCGCCGCCTCATATGCCCGCGCCCGCGGGGGGGAGCTGCGCCGGCCAATCACAGGCGCCGCCGCCCTGACTGACGGCCCGCGGCCCCGCCCCCGGTACTGCAGCTGTCCTCCCCGCCCCCCGCCTCTGCCGAGGGGGAGCGCTGTGGGAGGGGGGATCCCCGAGATCCCCGCGATGGGGATCCTGGAGACCCTCACAATGTGGGGGGCGGCGCCTCCGAGGAGGGGGTGCTGTGGGAGGGAAAGCCCAGGAAGTCCCCTCATTGTGGGGGTGTGCCACGAGGGAGAGGGGTGCGCTGCGGGAGGCGGACACCGGGTGGGGGAAAGCCCGGTAAACCACCGCAACGAGGTGGGGGGCCCAGAGCACGTCCGTCTGCAGTGAGGTGGGGCGGGGGAGCCTAGGGACTGCGTAGGATGCTGGTCAGCGCGGGGAGCTGGAGAGGGCACAGGAGGGAAGGAAGACCCCACAATGAAGAGGGGCGCTGCAGAGGGAGAGGAGTCCTGAGGCCCCCGCACTGTGTGTGTCTCCCCTACCCAGAGCCATGGCAGAGTCACCCAATGAGACATAATCACAGTCAGAAGACCACACTTAGCATCCTATACACAATGGTCACTCAGGCAGCTCCGACTCTGGGGACGGACACACACACACACACACACACCCCACTCTATCACACCCCACCACAATTTCACAATCACACGCACACCACACTACCCCACCAGACAACCCTAAGTGAGGCTTGCAAACACATAGAAATGGAATGCATAAAACACATACCTTACACACCCCATCACGCCACAACAGAATCACAGTCACAAAGTGCCATGTAGATTAACACTCACCCTGAGAACACTACATCCAAGACACGCACGTCACGCACTCTACCATACCTGGCCTTGTTCCATCTCACGCAGAGACCCAAAACTGTGCAACCCATGGAGCTAAGAACCAACACACATCTACACTCAGCACCATTGCACACCACAAGCCTCATGCCGCCTCCACACACCGCAGGGCACTTTGTGGACTCTGATGCATGAGCACACAATATACAGACTTTGGACATGGGCAAAGGCCCACAGGGCAAAATTGACAAATTATGATTGCTAATTGTTAATGACAGACAAAAAGGTGCTCATGGACTCACACGTGGCACAGAAATTCACAGAAACATCACACAATGCCATCCCACACACTCCCATGCTGTACACATCAGCTATTGGGGTGCTATTACATACACCTTTGTTGTACCTCCAAACATACCCCAATACCCCCACCTATATGCCACACACACCCCATCTTCTTATGTGTATGCACATAGACACAGCCAGCACCCGCACCCCAGGCTGACCACATACACACAACATTCCACCAGCCACACACTGGAACCCGAGGAGTCATGGTCTTCCACCCCACACCTTTGCTCTATGAGGAACATTCCAGACTCTCCCTCGGGAGCGTAGAAAGAGCAAAGAGCAAGAGAGAACCTGTCCCTGTAGCTTTCTCAGAATGCGGGTCTCCTCTGCACTTATGGGAGAGGTCGTCGGGGGTGGGGTGGACACAGGCAAGGGGCACGGTGTGAGCTTGGTGTATGGGTGATGGGTGGGGAAGGTTAGGGACCTGGTCAGGGAAACATCTGAAAGCTGGAGGCCAGAGTGAGAGACACAGGAACTGAGACAGAGATTCAGAGCCACGGAGAGATGGGCATGGACAGGGAGACAGGGCCAGAGAGTAGAAGGAGGCAGGGGATCAGTTCTTTGGTTTCCCCCAGCACCCAGAACCTCAGCCCAATCCTGTACTCTGACCCATCCCCTTCCCTCTCTGCTGTCCCTGTTGCCATGGTAACAGGAAGGCCAAATATGCAGCAAAGGAGGCTGGGCCTGCAGACCTGGCCTGTCTCCATGGAGACTGGGGAAGAGGGGAGAACCACATCTTCTAAACCAGGTGGTTTGCCCCAAGACCCCTCTCCCCAACTCTACCCCCTTCCAGGCGGAGGGAGGGAGGGCCTGTCAACATATCCCTTCCCTCTCCTGGCACCTGTGCCTGCAGAGGTGAGCCTGGACCATGAGGATGGGGACTGAGGCACAGAGAGGCCTGGGGGGGGGGGGTCTGGATCTCAGGAGACTCTAAGCTCTCTCCTCCTGCTCTCCAGCTGAGCTCAGAAAGACCTTGGTCCCCCACACCCTACCCTGAACATGCACTCCCCCCCTCAGACACAAGCCTGGTGAGACTGATGACTGTGCATCGTGCTCCCAGCAAGAGGCTCTGCGGAAGCTGGGGGAGACTGAAGAAGGTCACAGGGATGGACAGTGACAGGGGAACTCAGCACGAGAGACAGAGAGACACATAAGAGCAGAAATGGATACACAGTCCAGAACCAGGAGGAGGCAGACACAGATGGACAGAGAGAGAGAGACAGGCAAAACACAAAGAACAAATGAAGGGAGACAGAGAAACAGAGGTACTCAGTGAAGGTGACAGGGATACAGATAGCCAGGCAGAGACATGTTCAGCAAACTGGAGAGACTCAGAGAGAAAGTCTGGGGAGAGACTCAGAGCAGAAATGGGGAAGGGGAGACTCAGAAATGGGGAGAAATCCCAGGGAAGATCAGCAGTGTGACATTGGGACCGAGACGGGGAGAGACCAAAATGTCTGCAATTATATTCTAGTCACTCAGCAGACTGACAGTATGGCCAAGGACAGAGACATCCATTTGAGTTTGTAAAAGAGAGGTGGAGACAAGGGACACTGAGACAGACACAAGCTCACCCCCACACCTATCCCTGAGGGGCACACACATGGCAAGTGTCTGAGACACAGAAGGGGCTGGATGGAGATTGGGGGTGCTGTGTGACGGGCAGGTCTCCTGGGGTGTGGCGCACCCAAAGACCATCGAGTCAGGCAGGCCCTGCAGGGAAGACCGGGCAATGCAGTGGCCAGGCCGGTGCTGAACGGACAGCTCCCTGCTCTGGGCCACGGGCCACAGGGGCTGACCCAGCTTCTCTTCCCGGTGCAGCCAGTTTGGCTTTGCTCACCGCTCCAGCCCCCTCCCATCACTGTCTAGTTTTCTGTGGCTTCCTGTCTCTCACCTGTCTGCTCCGCCCCACTCCCTGCTTTTCTCAGCCCTAACTCCCAGGTGTCTTACCTTTCCCGCTTTATGTTTCTCCCTCTGCCCCTTTCTCTTGTGCACTTCTCTATTCTATCTCATCCTTTCCCCTCATAACCACACACTCCCTCGGTCTCTCCCCCTCTTTGCCCTTCACTCCCTTTCCTTCTCTCTCTCTGCCCTCCCTCATTGTCTCTCACCCATCTCGGTCTCTTCCTGCTCTGCGTCTCTCCCCACCTCTCCATCTCTCCCTCTCTCCTCGGCCTCGTTTTGGCTCTCACTGTGTGACCTTCACTCGTCCTTTCTCAGCTGCGGTTTCCACAGAAACCTCCAGCAGGCTAGGGGGAGGCCAGGACAGAAAGCAGACCCACCCTTCTCCCTCTCTACAGTGATTTCTCGCTTCCTCTCTTAGGGGCTGGGGAGGTAGATTTTCAGCAGAAAGGCAGGGTCGCAGTCACAGACATTCGAAGATGACCTCATGGATGTACGTACACACACATATGCACTTGATTACAAAGTCGCCAAATCACCCCTGCCCAGGCACACACTTGCCACCACACAGGCCACCCAGGCACCGCCACACTAAACGGTTCACTCGTCCTCCCCACTCCAGCCCCGTCTGGCTTCTGTCTTTCTGTGTCTGTGTTTCCTGGTGTCTCCGCCTCTTCAGATGCCGGCACCTCTCTCCATCTGTCTCAGGGTCTTTGTCGCAGCCTCCTTCTGTCCTGAGAGAAGGTCGGTGGAGAGGGGCCAGCCTCCGCGACCTGGGCTGGCCTGCTGGTCGTGGGCAGGGCCGAGGGTGGTGAGTGCGAAAGTGACCATCCAGTCTGGGGTTCTCAGCAGACTCCCTGCGGGGTCCATGCTTTTAATGCCCTCACACCCCCAGGAAATAAGATTGGGGTATCCCGTTTGGGGGTTTTGTTCTCTTTTTTTTATTCCAACGGGACTGGGGTGTGTCAGGGGGAGGTCTCATAGAAATTCCGAAGTTTCTCCCCCCAAAAAAGAGAGAAAAAAGAGGCGAGGGGCGCCAGGGGACACCCATCTGCCCAGAGGCCCTCCTCCAGAAGTGGGGAGCTGTGTCAATTCTTGGGAGCCTGAGCAGCCCCAGGATGGGGTTCTCCCAGCGGACTGCTCTCCGCTCCCGGGAAGAGCCCCGTAGTCCCCGGCCCCTGGAAGCCCCGGTTCCTGCGCTCCTCCCATCCGCAGGGGGGGCAGCGAGCGCGGTCCGCGGCACCCTCTGGCGAATCCACTAGGGGGCGCAGGCAGGCTCCAGAGCCGAGCCTCAGACTTCATCAGGAATCCAAGGCAAAATCTTGGCGTCCGGCCCGCCGCGGCGCAAGTCCTGTCTCTTGCTCGCTGTGGAGGCGGGGACGGCCGGGGGTCCGGGGTGGCCCGTCCCTGCGGCCAGTCCACATGCCTGTCCGGCCTCGCCCGTGGTCACTCGTGCTCAGCGAGCTCTCGGGGGCCGGGAGGGCCGGGCCGCGGCCGGGGAGGACTGGTGGCCTCGGCGGGGGCGCCCAGTCCACGCGGGGGCGCGCCGGCCCCAGAGGTCCGCAGCGCCTGGATGCGCCGGCACTCCTGGCAGACACGCACGTGGGTGCAGGGGGTAGAGGTGAGGGGCCGGGACACTCCAGGCGGCCCCGGGTCATCCAGGAGGCGCTGGGGACCCCCGTGCGCGCCGCCCGAGTCCCCGCCGGCGCCGGCCGAGTAGAGCTTGCCGTTGCTGAGGCGCATCTCGCGGACGGCGCGCAGCGACAGCAGGGCCCGGCTCGGGCCCCCCGGGCGCCGGCGCCGGCGGGAGCGCGACGTCTTGCGGCAGGACACCGCGTGCCGCAGCTCCTGCAGCATCTCCTGGCACACGGACACCTGCGGGCAGCGAGCGGGGGTTACCTCGCCGGCCCGGGAGATTCCCCGTCATCCCCTCGCCTGGCTCGTGTTGGTCTCTCATCTCCCCCACCCCAGTTTTTCCCCTCTCCCCCCCCCCCCCGCCTTTCCCCGCCCTTCTCCACACCCCCTGCTCTACCTGCCCCGCCTCCCTTCTCCTCTGCCCCCACCCATCCTTTCGCCTTTCTCTCGCCTCCCGGTTCTTTTGCCTCCCGTCCTCTTCCTGCCTCACCTCTCCACTTCTCAGCGCCTGTCTCTCCCCTGTCTGTTATTACGTGGCTTTCTTCCTGAACCTGCCCTTCGCTCTCCCTTCTCTTGTCTTTTCACTCTAAATTTTCTGACTGTCTATAGTCTCTCCCCTCCTGTGTATTTTCCATCTCCTGCCTCTGATCCATGCAGTCGTTATTGGGGGACATATTTGTTTAGCACCTTCTGTGTGCCAGGCACTGTTCTGGGCCCTGAGGATACAGCAGGGAACCAAACAGGAGGTTATATTACAGTGCCTGGAAGCAAAAACAAAACCACCCACCACACAGATGTGCAAATGCAGGTAGTAGGGGAGCTTGTGAGGAGTGCTTTGTGGAGAAAGAAAATCCTCCAGGCAGGTGGGACATGCGGGCGGACGGAAAGTGATGCTGAATTTCAATAAGGGATAGTTGGGGAAAACTCAGGGAGAAGACGACCTTCCAGTGCCCCGTGGAGCCGAGGTGGCAGCAGGCAGACAGCTCCGCAGGACCAAGGTGCTGAGGCAGGGGTGCTGAGGCGCGCTCAGGGACCATGAGAAAGGGGGAGAAGGGGATAAGGTCAGAGGAGCAGCCGGGGCCAGCTCATGGGAGGCCAGAGGACACCGTAAGGATTTGGCTTTTGCTCTGAGTCAGACGGCAGCCAGTGGAGAGTGTAAAGCAGGGGATCCTTGCTCTCACAGAACCTCACCCTGGAACTGTGTTGAGAACAGACTGTAGGGAGGCCAAGGGCGAGAGCAGGGAGACGCTGAGGGCGCTAAGGCGGTCAGAAGGGGTTGGATCCTGGGTATAGTGTTTTAAAGGTAGTGTCAACAGGATTTACCAAGAGAGCAGACAGAGAGTGTGAGAGAGGGAGGAGCGAAGGGTGACTCCCCGTAATTTGGCCTGAGCAGCCAGAATGATGGTGTTGCCTGATGGGCGAGCAGGAGCTCCGTGTGGACACCTGCGCTACCTGTCAGACATCCATGTGGAGATGTCGAGTACTGAGCTGCATTTCCAAACCCTGGGTTTGGGGAGAGGTCCTGTGAGGTACACATTCGGGGGCTATGCTAGGCAGCCTCCAAGATCTCTCTTCAGGTACTCCCACCCTTGTGTAAGTCCCTCTGCCCTTGGATCAGAGATGCTGTATGACCAACACCAAGTGCATACAGGCCAGCTGACACGTTGGCCTCCACCTGGCTCACTCTTGATTTCTCAATCAGGGAAGTCGGCTGGCATGGCAGGGACACACACACGGCCTTGCGGAGAAGTCCCTGTGCCAGGTACTGAGGCCTCCTGCCAGCTGCCATGTGAATGAGTGTATGAACCATGTTCTTTATATTCTGTATCTTAGGATGTTTTGACATCTTTAAAATTTTGCTGACCAGGGATAGATTGCCCCTTCCAGGGGGAGCCAATTCTTAGAGACAGCAAAGGGCTAAGGGCCCACCTTCCATATGCAAACCAACCAATCCCAAGTCTACACCCCAACCACCACCTTCATCCACGTCTCTCACATGCCAAGCTGCCTAAATCACCTGGGGCCTGGTACCAGGCAACTAGAGACCACTCCTCTGACCCAGAGCCTATTGAAGCCTATTGACATTACCCAACTAGCCAGTGGTAAGCTGCTTCCCCTACCCTGCCTTGTCTTTCCTGCAGAAACTCCCATAAAGGCTCTGGCCTAGGCTTCCCCCCTCGCTCCTTCTGCTCCTGCCCAAACCTGGTGTTTCCCCCACGTGGCCCTGTGTGGCATGGCAGCCCCTCCTCTTGGGAAACGTAAGTAATAAATTCTTTCAGTGGCATTGGTCTCTCCGTGTCATCACTCGGCCACCTCCGTAAATTAAAATCCCACAGGAACACGCTGAGACAGTGAGCCATTCTAGAAGTGGCTCCTCCAGCCCCAGTTGAGCCTTCAGCCGACATCATGACCATGACCTTGCCAGAGACACTGGGCAGCCAGAACTGCCCAGCTAAGCTGTTCCCAGATTCCTGACCCACAGAAACTGTGAGCTGATATGTTTGCTGTTTTAAACTGCTAAATGTGGAGACAATTAATCACATGGCACTAGACAACCAGTACAGAAGCCCTCAGCATAGAGATGGTCTTACAAACCATGTGGCTGGGATGGGATCACCAAGGAGAGGAGAGAGAATTCCAGGTTGGAGCACAAGAGTCCCCACGAAGCAGTGGCCAGGGAGGGAGGCGGAAAATGAGGCGGGCATGGGGAAGAGTGAGTTTTGGAGACAGAATGATGGGCAGAGGTGAAGTCTATCACCACCTCACGTGATGAAGCCCGAGTCTCAGGCACTGGATTTTGGACATGGAGGTCACTGGTGACAAGAGTGGCTTCAGTAGAGAGGTGGGGACAGCAGCTGGACTGGAGTGTATCCAAGAGTGAATGGGAGGAGAGGAAATAGGAACAACAAGGCTGTCAGGGAAGCAGGGCGATGGGGTGGTGTCTGGGAGGGGAAAGGGGGTTGAGAGAAGTTTTTGAACATGGGAGAAACGACAGCACATTTGTATGCTGCCGGCCCTGATCCAGTAAAGAGAGGACACTGGCAGTGTGGCAGCAAGGAGAGCGCTACCGAGGGACGTCCTGGGGAAGGCGAGAGTAGGGGAGATGGGGCCAGGTGGAGGTGCCTTAGCTGGGCGCCTGTGCCTTCATGGAGTAAGCACCAGGGTGAGTGGAGAAAGCAGGAGGCAGCTAGACGTGGAGGTGGAGCTCTGCACGCTCTCCTGACTCCTGCTTTTCTCAGGGGAGTAGAAGTAAGGTCATTAGCTAAAAGTGAGGAGCGGAAGGAGGGGTTGGGGGCTGCCAGTGAGAGGGGAAGGTGGGAGCCATGTAGGAGTGCAGAGGCACGGATGGGTCTGGCAGGAGGAGCAGGTCAGGCTGGGTAGCACTGGAGGCCTTAACATAGCGTGAGACCGGATGGCAAGTCTGTTGCTTCTAGTCTCGTTCCGCTGCATGTTCATCGCCTCTTCTCGTTTTTTCTTGCTTTACCACCCCTGCCTCTCCCCACACCCTTCCCATTCTTTCCCCTGGCATCTTTGTCTTGGCCTCTGTCCTCCTCATGTCCATGGATTCTCCTCCCAATCTGTCTGCTCTCTCTCTTCAGCCTCCTCTGCCCCTGGTCTCTCCCAGCCGCCCTCATCTCCCTGGCTCCCTGGCCCCTCCTCGCCGCCTGCTCTCCTCTCATAAGGCCCCCGGCGCCACAGTCTTCATGCCCCTCCACCCCTGGGGTCCCACTGCTCCTCCCATACCCTGTGCCAACCTCCTCACCTCTTCCGACTCTGCTGACCTCCGCGTGGACCATATGAACTCCATGACCGCCACGAAGACAGCAATGATGAGGCCACAGATGAGCACGACAAAAATGCCACCAATATTCTCCATGCCCAGACCTGGGAGTCAGGGGAGAGCCAGGGGTCGGGCCGTGTGGGCACAGGGGCTCTGAGGGGTCCTCGGGAGGGCACGGCATGCAGGGTGGCTGACCTTTAGCTCGATGGTCCTCCTCCTTGGGGCACCGGCCCCCCTCCCACCACTTGCGCTTCAGGATCTCCAGCCGGTTGTTCTCTTGAAGCTGCAGGATGGCCAGCGTAATCTCATCCCGGAACGGGGAGCCTGGACCGGCACGCGGGGTGGTGGACTGGTCACTGGGGCCCCGGAGCCCTGCCCGCCACACGCTAACCGCCCCCTGACCCCGGCCCCCTCCTGTCTCTGCCACACCCCCAGGGTCCCACCGTCCACCTCCGAGTCTGATCACTGCTCCCTGACAACCATGCTGGGCCACACACATGTCCCATTTGTCATGGTCTCCTCCCTGCAGCCTCCTCTCATCCCCCACCCAGGCTCTTCTCCACACATCAGCCAGAGGGTCCATTTCAGAAACAGAATCAGAGATCACGCCTCTCTCACACTTAAAACTCTCCAGCGGTATCCAGCACTGTGAAAATAAAGGCCTTTTCTGGCTTACAAGCTCCCGCAGCCCCCGGCCCCGCCACCTGGGGCTCTCCGGCACTACTCGCCACCCCCCCGCCCCAGCTCCCATCACACTGGCCCCCTGACTGCTCCTCGAACCCTCTCAGGGCAATCTCACCCTAGGACCTTTGCCTCTGCCTGGAATGCTCCTTCTATCCATTCACTCAGGGCTCTGCACACGTGGTGGGTCCTCAGGGGATTGATTCTGACTGACTTTAAAATGACACGAAGCACTCTACTCCCTGCCAGTCTCCCCCCGGTTAATTTACTTCAGAGCAGTTGTCACCACCCGACATCACATTATAAAGCTGTGTGCATTGTTGGTTTGCTGTCCGTGCCCCTAGTGGAGGGCAGGCGGGTGGAGCTTGGCAGCACCCCACTGTTATCCCAGTATCCAGCACAGGCCTGACACCCAGCAGGGCACACAGTTGGGCATCAGACAGACCTGCTGGGTGAGTGACTCCCAGCCACACCTCTCCTCCACGCTGGACCACCTCTCCCCTCCCCTTAAGCCATCCTTAGGCCCCAAACACCCACGCTTGCCCTCTCCTGTGCTCATTTCTTCATTCACTACGATACTTGTTGAGCATCTACCAGTGCCAAGAACTTGGGATATGGGCGAGAGGGGTGATTTGTATTTGTCGGGAACCCCGGTGGCGCTGCCACCATACCCAGCGGCATGCCGATGCCGTAGCCCTTGGTGTCGAGGAGGCCCCCGATCTGGGTGAGGTTGCAGTTGAGGCGTCGGTGGTACTCGTTCATGGTGGACTCGAGCAGGAAGGCATAGCGGGAGTTGAGGACGCGGGCGATGCCCTCCTCCGTGCTTTTGACGAACACGCTGGGCTGCTTTGACTGCATATAGTTCCACATCCGCTGGTATGTCTGATACCGTGAATTCTGGGCAGAATGGGCACAAGGGGAAGAGGTGAGGGGCTTTCCATTCCCGGCCTTCCCCTGAACCCTGTCACCTGCCCTCCAGCAAGTCTCCCTCAACCCAAGAGGGAGCAAGGAGACCAGAGGAAGATGGAGAGGAAACCAGAAGGACAGGCTGCTCAAGGCCAGGTCCAAGTTGTCCCACATCTGCCAGCCCAGTGAGAACCCCAAGGGCCAAAGCTTGGAAGAAGAGGCCATGGTCTATTCTTTAGCCCTTTTCTATCTTTCATCCCAGTGCCTGACTCAGCTGGACACCAGCCCTGTCTTCCCAGTGCTCCCAGGTCTTACTCATAGAACCTGGGAGCAGATGCTCAACTCCCAAATCTAGCTGGGGCTCAGCCTGGTTTGGGAAGACCCAAGTCCATGCCCTGTGGGAATCTTCTGGGAATGATTACCCCTGCCCCTACCACCTGATGCCTGCCCTGCCTCTCCCTCTTTGATCTGAGGTCCAGACTCTTGTTCCCTCCTCCCTTCGGGTACCTCACAGGCTCTGCCCATGGCTCAGCAACCACCCAACGCCATTCCAATGGTCTCCCACCTGGGAACTCAGCCCCTCCTCCGTTCCTGCTTAGCCCTTCAGCCTGCGGCCCCTGCCCAACTCCATCCTTCTCTCCCGACCACTCATCCACCCCCAACTGCCCCAAAGGGAACCTCTAGCTTCTAAATGGGTCACCATTCAACCGTTCCTACATCCCCACTTAAGGGGGCTCAATCTCAGCCTTATTCTGGCATTCAAGGCCTCTGAGGTTTCTTAATCAAATCTTGCCAGGCTTGCTTTCCTTCTGGTTCCCTTTCATCACCCCAAAATGCATATGGACAAGCTCCTTCTTTCCTTCTCTGCTGGTCCATTTTGCCAGGCCTGACCCCAGCAGCCTCCTGGGCCCCATTTGGCGTGTCCAGCACTAATCTGACATTAGATCCCATACCTGTCTCCCCATCCCCATTCCTGGGCGGAAGTCCAGTTTCCCCAGCCCAAAAACAGGCTTCCTCATGAGGGTATGAGTGTGTCTTCTGGTCCCCAGCCTCCCTGACTTTCATGACAATCAGCTCCTCTGACCCAGAAGGCCTTGCCCAGCACCGCCCACTCCCCCTGCAGCTGCTAGGCACAGCTGGGGTACTGACACCAAGCCCGAGGGCCTCTGGGGGCCCCACCTGGAAGAAGGTCATGGTGGAGCCAGCGTGGATGGTGCCGTACTCAATGTTGGTCTGGTCTGCCAGGTCGTCAGCCGATTCCACAGGCACCTCCATGCGCTGCACGGTGAGGAAGGCGGCCAGGTTGGCCGTGTAGGAGGAGATGATGATCAAGGTGAAGGCCCACCTGAGGGGTGGGAGGGGTGAGCTACAGGCTGGAGCCACCCTGCCCATGGCCATGGGTCCCCTGGTGGCGCCCCCATCAGTGACCTGGCATCTAGAAGGCTCAGTAACTGCTGACTAGTGGAGAGACTGGGGGCACAGATTCTGGAGCCAGACTCTCTGGGTTTAAATATTGCTTCTGGAGATTTCTGCTTCCAGATACAGGAGAACAAGATGGTCTGGAAATATCTTCCCATCAAGAAAAACTAGAAAACTAGACAGAATATAAGAAACTATTTAAATACATAGGACAACAGATATCACAGGACTGTGATCCTTGAGGGAAGCAAACAAACAAACAAACAAACAAAGTAAAGTGAACTTTGTCATTGCCAAGGCTGCTGGCTGGATTTAATTTCCATGCTGCAGTGCCAGGAAGGAGGGAAGACCCAGTCTGGCAGTCTCTCTGAGTTGAAGAGATGGAGATCACAAATCAGGAAGGCCAAGATGGCTGGCATTTGTGGGATAGAATATCAAAGGGGAGAGCTGCACAGAGACGGTTCCAGAAATCTGCACGGGGTCCCCTTGGGTGTTTGGCTGAATGTCAATTTGTAACTCCAGCAGCCAGACAAGAACAACTTTCAAAGAGAGAACAATTCCCAGGGCTGGGAACCTTTTGAGCTCCCTCTATCCAGAGAGATCTGATTGGATTCATGAGACATTAAGTAGAAACCCAAAAGGAAAACACATTAGAAATAGAGTCGGCTTAGCCCTAGAATAAAGGCTACACTAGAGCTGCCCTAAAAGAACTAAAAAACAGGCCTGGAAAAGATAGAAATAATCGAAAAGTAATTTGACTAACTGCCAGAAAAAGTCCCAGACTCTTCGAAGTGATACATTCAACAACGTAAACAATGTAAAATTCACAATATATGTCATCCAGTAAAAAATTTACCACATATACAAAAGCACAGGAAACTGTAACCTAGCATAATGAAGAATAAAATCACTCAATTGAAACCAACTCAGATTGACAGAAATGAGAAGGACATTAAACAGTTATTACAAATATGTTCTTAATGCTCAAGGATATAAAGAAAAACATGGACATAATGCAGAGAGAAATAGAAGATATAAAACAGAAGTGAATGGGACTTCTAGAGATGAAATATACAACACCCAAGAGGAAAATTTTACTGGAAGGGATTATACAGATTAGACACTGCAGCAGAAAAGAACAGGGAATTGCAAGAAAGCAAGTGAATCTATCCAAAACGAAGCATAAAAAGGAAAAAAATGACTGACAATGGGCATAAAGCCCAAGTGGCCTGAGGTCTAATACAAGTGGCTGGAGTCCCAGAAAAAGAGGAGAGAAAGGAGATAACAGAAAAATATATATGTTTGAAAAAGTAAGGCTCCAAGTTTTTCACATGTGATGAAAACTACAAATGTGCGAGGAAGCTCAATAAACCCAAGTAGAATAAACAGGTATGCACACAAAACACAACAGGGCACATTATAATCAATTACTGAAAACCAGTGATAAAGAGAAAATCTAAAAAGCAGCCAGGATGAGGGAGAAATATATTACACACAAAGAAAGATAAGAGTGAAAGTAGATTTCTTGTCAGAAAGTATGCAAGCCAGAAGACAATGCGACAGTGTGGTAAAAAGAAAACAAAAACAAACCAACAAACAAAACCCCCACCAACCTAGAATTCCATATTCAGAAGAAAAATCCTTCAACAAAGAAAACGCACTAAGGAATTTTTCATACAAACAAAAGCTTGGAGAACTAATTGCTAGCAGACCTGCACTTCCAGAGATGTTAAAGGAAGTTCTTCAGGTAAAAGGAAAATAGTAGAAAAAAGTGGATGTACATGAAGGCATGAAGAGCACCAGGAATAACCACCAGGAAATATAAAAGACATTCCTCATTTAAAACATTTGTCTAAAAGACATTTACTGTTGAAGTAAACACACACACGCACACACACACATTCACAAATCAAATGTATTGTGGGGTTCACAAGATCAGTAGAAGTAAAAATATGTCAACAGTAGCTCAAAGGATGGGAGGGAATTATGGAAGTCTACTGTTTTAAGAGCCTTACATCTGATGTGAAGTATCGTAATGTTACTTGAAAGTACTTCGTAATAATTAAAGATGCATATGGTAAGCCCAGAACAACTGCTAAGAAAAATAAAACAAAGAAGCATAATTAAGCCTGGGCCAGAGTGGCTCAGTTGGTTGGATGTTGTCCCATGAACCAAAAGACTGCTGGTTCAATTCCCAGTCTGGGCACATGCCTGGGTTGCAGGTCCAGTACCCCCGGGTGCATATGGAAGGCAACCGACTGATGTTTCTCTCTCTCACATAGATGTTTCTTGCCCTCTCTTTCTACCTCCCTTCCCCTCTTTCTAAAATCAAAATTAAAAAATAAAATAAAAATTTAAAAAGTACAATTAATAAATTAGAAGCAGGCATAAAAAAGAATTTTAAAAATTTCAATAAATCCAAAAGAAGAGAGGAAAAACAAGGAAATGGGAACAAAGAACAGATGGGACAAATAGAAGACAAACAGCAAGTTGGCAGATTTGAACCTGACCATGTCAATAATTACAATAAAGGTCTCGATCACGGGTTGGCAAGCTATGGCCCACAGGCCAAATCTGGTTTGCCATCTGTTTTGGTACACAAGCTAAGAATAGTTTTCACATTTTCAAGTGATTTAAAAGAAAGCAAAAGAAGAGTAATATTTCGACATAAAATTCAAACTGCAGCGTCAGTGTCCATAAATAAGGATTTGCTGGAACACAGCCACATTCACTTGTATATTGTCTCCAGCTGCTTTCGCACTACAGTCAGAGTTGAGTAGTTGTGACAGGGACTGCAGGGCCAGCAAAGCCTAAAATATTTACTATCTGGTCCGATAAAGAAAAAGTTTGCCAACCTCTGTTCCATATATGCTTCCTGTAGGAAACCCACTTAAGGCCCTGGCTGATGTGGCTCAGTGGATCCAGTGCCAGGCTGAAAAACAAAGGGTCACTGGTTCATTTCCCAGTCAGGGCACATGCCTGGGTTGCTGGCCAGGTCCCCAGCAACAGGTGTGCGAGAAGCAACCGCACATTGATGTTTCCCTCCCTTTCCTTCTCCCTCCCTCCCCCTCTCTCTAAAAGTAAATAAATAAAATGTAAAAAAAAGAAACTCGCCTAAAATACAATGTATAGGTAGGCTGGAAGTAACAGAATGGGAAAAAGATATGCTAAGCATGAGAAAGCATGGCTATGTTGTTTTGTTTTGTTTTGTTTTCTAAAGATTTTGTTTATTTTAGAGAGAGGGGAAGGGAGGGAGGAGAGAAACATCAATGGGTGGTTGCCTCTTGAGCGCCCCCTACTGGGGAGCTAGTCAGCAACCCAGTCATGTGCCCTGACTGGGAATCCAACCGACAACGCTTCTGTTTCAGGCCAACACTCAATCCACTGAGCCATACCAGCCAGGGCAGCATGGCTATATTAATATTAAAGGTAACTTCAGAACAAGGGCTGTTACCAGGAACAAACAAGAACATTATATAATGACAAAGGGATCAATTCATCAAGAGAACATAATAATCCTCAACACTTATGCATCTAATTATAAAGTTTCAAAATTTATAAAGCAAAACTGATAAAACTGAAAAGAAAAATAGATACGATTTCTCCACAATTATAGGTGGAGATTTCAACATGCTTCTCCCAGTAACTGCTAAAGCAAGTAGACAAAAAATGAGGATATAAAAGACTTGAATAACACTATCAGCCTACTGGCTCTAATTGTTATTTATAAAACGCTGCACCCACCAACAGCACATTCTATGCAAGTGCACACAGGCCAGCTACCAGGATAGGCCATATGCTGAGCCACAAAACAAGTCTCAATAAATATCAAAGGATTAAAATCCTACAGAGAATGTCCTCTGAGCACAGTGGAACTAAACTAGAAAGCAATAATAGAAAGATTTCCAGAAAATCCCCAAATCCTGGCTCCATCACCATGTAGCTGTGTGACCTTGGGCTCACCTGTGAGGGAACTAGAATCGTGGCCCCTCCTCACAGGGCTGTTGTAAGAATTACACCTGTGCAAGTGTGTGCTCTTACCGTCCTGGTGAGACACAGAAGAGGTACGCACTGGCCTGCCTATGGGGCCCAAGGGCAGCCACTATCTTTCTTACTCTGTCCCTCTCTGTCTTACCGCCTGGCAGGTGAGCCAGGCCAGGCTACCTGCAGATGGTTTAGATCTGTGGGGCAGGAAGACAGGGGAGATGCTGAGAGGGCCTCCCAGGCCTCACCTCCTCCAGCAGAGAAAACAGCAGCTGTCCTTTGCTGAGCATGTGTGCACAGCGCTGTGCAAGGCACTGGCGTGGGGGTGGAGAGGAGGATAAGGGATAAATAATACAGCCTCCTGCAAAAGAAAACCAAAACCCCACCCAAAGACCCAGAGCCTGACACCTCCTCTCCGGAAACCGAGTCTCTTCGAACCCATCCCATGGATCCATGTTGTCATTCACTCAGGACAAAATTATTTAGTGCCTGGTAGTCGCCAGGCACCACCCAGCCCCTGAAAATATAGCGTGGCTGACAGGTGGTGATGCTGGGGGTGGGTGGGAAGAAGGGGCCATTCACCGAGACAGAGCAGGGGAACACAGATGGGGAGTTTAATTTGGGAGTAAGGACATGAGCTCGGTTTCAGACAAGATGAGTTTTAGGGAGGCCACTGGGCACCCATGGAGACGTCTGGGGGTGAGGACTTGGGAAGTGTCATTTACAAACAACAAGAGAAGACAGAGCTGGGTAAAACGGCCCCTGGAGTACAGGGCGGCGACCCCCAGGCAGAAGGCACTTGCTAAGGTGCAGAGCACTCTGGCGGTTGAAGTGGATGAGGGGCCTTGGTGTCGGGTGCAACACCAGGTGTCTGACAATGCAGCCCAGTCTCAACAACAGGGAAAATCCGATACATGATTATCTGAGCCTATCTCCTTGGTACACAAAAGCAAAGTATTTTTACATGGTTATAATAGAAACTGAAATTTCTAGGAGCACATCTATTACTTGGATTGAGGAAGAACTGGATGTTCTGTTTGAAACTTTGCCAAGAGCCATTTGCCATTTTGGGAGGTCACACCTCTGACAGCACAACCCTGCTCTGGTGTTTGCGTCACCAAGCCAAGACACTTGGACCAGCTGTCTTATTAAATCACCACTTTCTCGGTGATTTTTATTTGTATAAACGTACCTATTTACCGACTACTTCCAAGGGTCAAGTCTCAGGTGTTGCCATAATTCTATCAGATGCCTTTCCTCCGGTAGTTCCGGACCTGCCCGTGATGAGTAGGTGCAAACGCCTGATGACTGCAGTCTTCCAGCACAGTCCCCCCCAGCATTTCCGTATCACTATCCTACTGTTTTATCACAAATCACTTCCCTTTCTTTCCTTTTGAATTGCAATTAGGGCGTCTTATTGATTTGTTTTAAATCACATGTGCAGGTAGGGGTTACCCTTGAAATTCATCAGGGTGAAAAAGGGGATGTTACAAACCATTTGTTGTAATGAGGGCGGCGGGTGTGGGAGCGCGGGAACATCACGGTGTGGAGGGAAGAGCTCCGCGAGAGAGGGCAAGAGTGAAACGAAACAGATCCAAAGACGCAGGTGGAAACCGGGAGGGCACAGTGAGGCCTTTCTAGGATAGCGAACACGGTGTATTGGATGTATCAGTGAAGGGGTCCCCTACGACCTTGGTGGAGCTGGGAGAATGGGGGGTCAAGATGCTGGCTAGATCTGAGGTTTGTGGGCTTTCTTGCCAAGAGGGCATGAAGGAAGGACAACTGGATCTGAGGAAGAGTTGAGGACAATGGCAAAGGAGCAGCTGAAGTCACCGCATAGGAGCCACCTAGGTGGGCAGACATGAAAGCAGGCAGGGCTCAGAGAACAGAAAAAGGATGGTCAAAGACGTCATGGGAGTGACCCAGGGGGAGCCTGAGAGGGACGGCGCTGTGGTCAGAGCAGCAATTCAGTAGGAAACACTGATGTCCAAGGCAGAGCTGCGCCGAATGATGACTGGGGACGAGGGGTCCAAGGCAGTGGGTCTTGGCCTGGTTGCTGCTGTTGAGGTGGTAGACAAGTGTGGCAGGATCCTGGCCCACATGCCCACCACCCCACCACCGGCCCTGGCCTGCCGAATCACCCGGCCAGGGTCACTTTTGAAGATTAACAAGCACCTGTTGAAACATCTTTTGAACGAGTGAACCTGTGGGAGACTTGGGTCAAATGAGCCCAGGTCAAAGTGAGCTGAGTGAGGAGGGGGATGTGACCGGGCGCTTTCTGGTGACAGCAAAAGGCAGGGGCAGAGACGGCCCAGCTGGAAAAGCTGCGATGACCTACAAAGAGGAGGTTGCTGATTCCCTGGCTGATCTGGGACTCAGCTAGATTTGTTACAGCAGGTCCTCTCATGCCATTTCAGCCCCTTCCTCACACACGTGCCTCTTCTGGCCTGAATGTTCTTCCCTCTCCTTGGCATGGACGCCCCCGGTTTAGCCTTTAGGACTCAGCCCCATGTCACCTCCTCAGAGGGGCCTTCCCTGAGCACCTCATTCTCTACTGTCCTCTTTCACTGCACCTTGCTTGGCTCCTCAGCGCACGGTTTATGTCCATCTGACACATCATTACGTTGCAAAGGTTAATAACTTTCACTTGAGGTGTGCAGGAGGCAGAAAAAAGCCCCCCAACCCCCATACGCCTACATCCTGATCCCCGGAGGCTGTGTATTCCCCCACAGTGTAAATGGGTCTTTGCAGATGTGATGAAGTTAAGGATCTTGAGATGGGGAGATAATCCTGGATTAGCCAGTGAAATCACAAGAGTCCTTCTACGTGGAAGAAGTTCAGAGTCAGAGAGAAAGATTTGAAGATGCTGTGCTGCTGGCTTTGAAGGGGTCAGGAGCCAAAGAATGCAAGTGGCTTTTAAACGTTAGAAAAGACAAGGAAGTGGATTCTCCCCTGCTGACCTCCAGAACTGTAAGAGGATAAACTTACATTGTTTTAAGCCACTGAATTTGTATTATCTGTTGCAGCAGCATTAGGAAGCAAGTACAGAGTAGGGCACTCGAAATGATCCGAATCTCAAAAGGCCTGGATAAAGTCATTATGATTCGAAAGTTTCTAAACCAATGGACCAAGTGTGTTGCAAATGATGTCCCATGGTAGTTAGTCCCTCTAGGCTTGGAGAAAGAAAAACCTGCACCATTCCGGTTAGTCTTGAGTTAAACAATATCTCTGGCACATGTTCTTGGCATAAAATACAACGTCCCTGTGTTTACACATCTGTTTACTTGTTTATTCTCAGCTCCTCTGCCTCTTGAGGGCTGCTTCTTCACCTGAGTGCCTGGCACATGGAGGGCCCCGCACAGCATCTGCTGAGTGACTTTTGATGCAGGAATACTGACTGGCAAGAGGAGGTGAGGAAGAAACACCCCTTGAGAAGGCCCAATGCCTGGGATCACCCTGGAGAAGTCACCAAGGGCCGGGGAGCAGGGCTGGGCTCAGGCAGCTGCGAGGGCTGGCTAGTGGCGCTGGGGCGGGGCCCGGCTTGGCCCTGCCCTGCCTCTGCCAAATGCAAGTTCTGCAGGAAATCACTCCCTCTCTCTGGGTCTGCCTTGCAATAAAACCAGGAGAACATTCCCTTTCTTAAGCATTCTCCTCAGTTTTCTGTGGTTCTAATGAGGGAAAGGAGGTGGGAAGAGTTATGTGAACTGCAATGAAGTCCAGAGGCTACTTGAGAGATGTGTAGTAAACCCGAGGGCTTATGGGGGCCAGACCAGACCATAACCAAACGGAAGAAGGGACTGAAGCCGAAGGAACAGACATCAACGCCAGGTGGAAATGCCAGCTGAGTGCCCCCAGACCTCTCGAATTTTCTAGAAGAGAAATCTGGAATTTTGAGTAAATTTGCCCAATGTTTAAATGTTACCGACTAATTTTAATACATTTTAAACTGTGGTCCAAACAGACACCATGAGTTGTTGGTGTCTGCTCTCTGACATGTAGCTTCTCAGAGCTTGTCATGGGGGCAAAATAAGTTTCGACCAAGCTCCTGGGCCCCCTGGGACTCTGAGGGACCAGGTACACCTGTCTGGGCCTCGGCCTCAGGAGAGTGAAGGACATCCTGGCTCGGGGACTCTCAGGGCAATGTCCGAGACAGTGACAGCATTGGTCCTGTCCTGGTTGTGACCCCTCATGTCCATAGAAGCCCTTTTCCACAACAACCTTGCTGAGTCCTTACAACCTGACACATGGGCATTTTATCCCCATTTTCTAGATGAGGAGACTGAAGCATGCAGAGGGAATGTGGCCTACCTAAGGTGGCATAGCTAGTGAGTGACACAGCTGGGACGCAGCTCTCCCCACTCCATTCCCTGCCACAGAGCTGGCAGTGGGGACCAGAGGTGCACCCTCAGAGAGGCCCCTCCCAGCCCCAGGGGAGCAGACAAAAAGCCTCTTACCAGACTCCACTGACACAGCGAGTGGACAGAGCCCGGGGCATGATTTCTGAGCCCTGCTGCATGAAGCCCCCGACGGGGAACCAGAGGCTGTTGCCCAGCGTGTACTGGTTCTCCAGGATGTGGGGGCGTGCCCGCAGGCATGGGTGTGGGTTATACCACTCATAGGGGCTCAGCCTGCGAAGAGACATGGTAGGAGACTGTGAAGGAAGCCAAGCAGGGGGAGAAAAAGGAGACACAGAACACCATGATCAGGAGAGATTGGGGAGGGACAGGAATTGTAGGGAAGAGAGATCAAGGGATGAACAGAGAGACACACCCACACAGAACAGGTAGAAAGAGAAACACGTGGAAGAGAGAGGCAGGGAGACACACAACAGAGATGGAAAGACACAGAGAAGAGAAAGAGAGAAACAGAAAGACAGAAAAAATGGAAGGGGAGCAGTGCAAAGAGAGACCACAGAGCAAGTCAGAGCCCCAGGGTGAAATGCAGAGGCAGGGCCAGGACGGGAGAAGGGAGGGTGCAGGGAGCCCCAGGCCCCGAGTGGAGGCGAGGAGGGTCCACGCAGACAACAGAATGTGCCGGTTCGTCATGGGCCCCAGCTCAGGCCTCCTCCCCGCCCCTCTTCCCAGGCAGCGGAGAGAGGGCTCACCTGGCGGCCAGGAACAGGACGCAGCTGACAGCCAGGTAGGCGAGAAGCATGAAGAGCCACACAGCAGGGGAGAAGGGGTCCAGGAAGGAGAAGTAGCCGGGCTTGCGCCCCTGTGGGAAGAGGGAGTGAGACCCTGAGCCACCCTGACCTGAGCTGAATGCCAACCCCTGCTCCCACCAGGGGCCCACGAGCCCAGCGGGCCCTTCCCAGGTCCAGCCCACAGCCTCTGCTTCCCTTGGGGACACAGGCATCTGGGCCTCACTGCCAGCCCCTGCCTCTAGCCTCCATGTCCACGTGGGAACCGTACCATGTGCACTCGGTAGAGGATGCTGATCCCCAGGGTCATGAAGGGTTTGGAGAAGTCGATGACCTTTTCCCGCTCAGCTGTGATGGTGAATGCAGCCACCGCCAGGTCTGCCTTCTGCTGGAGAGGAAGCCGGGCAGGGGCAGAGGAGTGGCCAGGGAGGGAGACGGGCAGTTAGGGCAAAACTCACGGAGAGCAACTAAGAGAGACTATGGGAAGCCGAATGAGGGGTCAGGAGCCTGGGCTGGCTCCAGGAGTGCCCCAGATTGGACCCTTGTCACCTCACGCCCCTGGCCCTCACCGTCCCCACCACCACTCCAGAGCCTGGAGAGAACCTGGGATTGGAGCCAAGGTGCCTGAATGCCAACCCACTCAGGGCCCTCTGGGGGCCTTGGTTTCTTCTGTCTTAGTTAACAACAGGCAGCATTTGTCACAGGCTGACTCCGTTCTGGGCTCCGTGCTGGACAGCACTGTACAGAGATCCCCTGTGCACTCCTCCCAACAGCTCCCTGGGAGCCATTACTGGCCCCATTGTATGGATGGGAAACCGAGTCCCAGAGAGGCAAAGGCACTAGCAAGCCAAAGCAGGCGATATGACCTCTACTCTCCTGCCCGTGGACAGCACTAGCAGCCAGCCAGTGCCCAGCTCCACCGAGACCATGACCTTGGGGGAAGCTGCACACAGTCTCGAGTGAGGCAGGGGTGCCTGGGGTCCAGGTCTGAAGTGGGGAAGCGTGGGAGTGGGGGAGGCGAGACAGTGAGAAGGGTTGGGGTTGGGGTCTGGCTGGCACTCCTGGAATCCCGGATCCAAAAGGGCCATTTCGCTCTGGCCCAGGAGGACATTAACTGGCCTTTGGCTGTGGGCAGGACACAGGCTGGGAAAAAAACCTGGCACTGCTCACACCCTCTCTGCACCCCCTAGACTGCACTGTACAGAGTCACGTCTGCACCGCCACCACCACATGCTCACCACACCATACCCACACGTGTGTGCCCAGACGCAGGCTCCCAGTGAGGCATTGTCCACACAGACACAGGCAGGCAGATGTGTGCCCTGCCCATGAGTGTAAGGAGCAGATACACATGGGGAGTGGGCATTCCCTCAAGGCGCCATGCCCACGCTTGCACACATGGCCCTCACATGCATGCACACATGACGGCCCAGGCAGGGCCAGGTGCTGGGAAGGGGTGGGCGCAGGAGTGGGGAGCCCCAGCTCTGCCCTGAGCTCACTGGGCGATCTCGGACGGCGGCTTCCGCACCTATGGGTCTCAGTTTGCTCATCTGTAAAATGGGGGTGAGGGTTGGGACCTGGCTCCCAGGATGTCCCTTCCAAGCATAATGACTACCCGCCAGGCCTCAACCACTGACTCCAAATTCGAGCAGAGACCTCCCTCTGGGGCTGAAATAGGAGTCAAGGTCCAGGCCCTGGCCCAGGAGGAGATCTGCACTCACCCCAGGGGGCTGAGACTGAGAGTGCATGAGGTAACACAGGCCCAGGCGGGGAGAGAGGCACAGGCCAGAAAGATAACCACAAGGTAGAGGGAGACAGCACAGGCTGGAAATAAAACCAAGGTCAAGGAGAGAGCTCGTGGGCCCAGACTGAAATCCAGGGTCAGTCAGAGACAAGATAGGTCTCAAATACAATTTGATGGTAGGGAAAGAGGACAGGCCCAAAAGATAAACCAGGGGGAGAGAGAGAGATGGCACAGGTCAAACAACTAACACAGGGTGAGGGGAAGTTGGCAGAGGCCTCTGCGTGACTTGGGAGCAGAGTGGCAGAGCCCCAGAGCAGAATCCAGAAGTGGTAACGTGGGCAGAAGCTCCAAGCACACGGCTGGAGGCCGGACTCAGACAATGCTCTTAGGAATGCCCGGCTGTTGACAGTAAGGAGTGTTTTCCCCCTTTCTTGTGCACTGCCACTTTTATGGCTAATACATGAATTATACACAGGAATCCAATTATTTTTATGCACCCACAGGAGCTGTGTCCTGGCAATGCCCTCCTTGGGGGCCCAAGTCCCCATTTCAGAAAGCAGGAGGCAGTGGCCTCTCAGAGAAAGGGCCGGGAGGACCTGGTGGTCCCCAGGCCAGGCCTCTTCTCCCAAAGGCCTGCAGGGTTCCTGGCCCCTTTCTGTTCTGTCCCTGTCCCTGGCTCGCTCACTAGCTTCCTCACCCACTCCTGAGACCTGGCGGCAGGCCAAACACCTGGGCTGGCCTGCTTCTCCTTCCCACATTCTCCACATCTCCTCCAGTGGCAAAGGCAGCGGCTCTGCTTCCAAAACACTCTTTCGATCTGTCCACTTGGCTCCACATCCACCCCCAAGCCCAGAACACCGGACTCTTTCTCCTGACAACAGCATCAATCTCTGTGGCCTCCCTGTCACCACTCATAACCTTTATCCAAAGAGAGAGAGGCCTCTGTTTTAAACCCATCGGTGGCTTCCCACTATACCTAGGACCAAACACTTTCACGGCCAAGAGGCTGTGCATGATCTGAGACCTACCTGCCCACTGGCCTCACCTCATGGCTTTTCCCCTCCCCCACTTGTCTCCAGCCCACAAGGCCCACTTTTTGTTCTTCGACACAGCAGGCTCAGGGCCTTTGCACATGCTCTTCCCCAGCTCTTCTTCACCATTCGAGGTCTGGCTCATATGTCACCGCTTGGGCCTGCCCACAGCCGCCTCCAGACCCCACTCACCCCACTCCAGAGTCCTCTCTCTCTTTACCCATTACCCTGTTTTATATCTTTCTAAGCACCACTGGGGATGACCCTATTTGCTTATTAATGGACTACCCTCCCTACTAAACTACAATCTCCTTGTCTCTCTGGTTAGAGGTGTACCCTAGAGACTGCACAGAATAAGTTTCCAACAAACACTGCTTGGTTTTGACCAAGTCTGGTCTCTGTGAACAAACCCAAAGCGGCTCTGGCCCTCCCCTGAACCTCTGGGGCTCTGGCTGTCCTCTTGTGTCCTCTACTTTCCGGCCCTTGGACCGGTGAGCACACCACTCCCTTTGCCCGAGATGCCCCCTCCACCCTGCTGAACTAGACCCTGCCCACCCCCCCAGGGCTCCCTCAAGCCTTCCCTCCTCTGCGGTGCCTTCCATGCCTCCCCCTACACATATGCCCGGCACGCCTTGATCTCAGCACTTAGCTCAGTTTGGAAAATATCTGTTAGCGCCTCTGACTCCGCCACTAAACCTTCAAAGGCAGGGAAAGTGGGACTGTCCTATGTTTCCCATGCTGGAAGCCCAGGAATGTCACACTTCCTCTGGGGGCCTCGCAGGGGCTCCCAGAGTCCTCTCCTTCCCTGGGCCCTGTGGAGCCTCCTACAGCTCGACGCTCACACTCACACAGCACTCACCCCATGGCCAGGGCTTTCCCACCCTGGGGTATCTCCTTTAGTCCCCAAAGCAATCATTTTACACCTGAGGAAACCAAGGCACAGTGAAGGTAAGGATTTTGCTCTAGGTGACCCCAGGACTCAGAACCACGTACCCTCTGAGGGGAGTTTGCCTGACTGCTGCTCCCGCCCCTCCTTCCATGCCCAGGGTACCTGAGGCCAGGGTCCAGGAATTCTGAGTAACCAGAGGAGGGAGCAAATCCTTGAGCCTCCCATGAGCACGCAGCAAACTCAGCTGGCTCCACCCTCTCCGTAATGAATACCCCAGGCAGAAGCCGGGGGCATCTGACACTGCCCTCGCTCCTCACAGCACCTGTCCTCAAGCCCTCATGATTCCACCCCCAAAACACCTCTGGAATCAAGTTGCTTCTCTCTGTCTTCTCTGCCCCTGTCCAGATCATGTCTCTCAGGCCTGGAAAGCTTGTCTCTGCTACCCCAGCCACCCAGCAGGCAGCCTGAGGAACCCCAGAAACGACCCCCCAATCACACCCCCCACTTACATTCTCAGCCAAAGCACTCCTCAGCAGGCCGCGTGCCCTCCTCCTCCCCAGCCTTATCCCCCACTGCCATAGATTAAACGTCTGTGTCTCCCCAAAATTCGTACCGAGATCTCCACCCAAAGTGATAGTATTTGGGCAGGGGCCTTTGGGGAGTGATTAGGTCATGAGGGTGGAGCCCTCAGGAATGGGATTGTTGTCCTCATACAGGAGGCTCCAGAGGGCTCGCTCGCTCCTTCTGCCATGTGAGAGGACACAGCAAGAGGACAGTTGTCTATAAGCCCTCACCAGACAAGGAATCAGCCAGTACCTTGATCTTGGACTTCCCAGCCTCTAGAACTGAGACAAATCTCGTTTATGAGCCACTGAGTTTACGGTCCTCAGTTACAGCAGCCTGAACTGACTAATATACCTGCCATCCCACCCCACCTCCCCATGTTGCAGCCATTGCCCTTTCCACCTGTCCATTCATTCATTGACCTGCTTGACAAATATTTGTGGAACACCCACCAGGGGCCACGCACAGTTCTAGCTTTGGGAATACAGCAGTGAATATAAACGCATAATGTCAAGCAGCGACAGGCACTCTGAAGAGAAATGAAGCCAGGCGGCATGATCCAGACTGCCACCCACTCCCATGGAAGGGAGGCCGCGGTGGAGATGGGACGTACAGGAGAGGGGCACGGGAAGACCTGGGCAGAAAGTTCCAGGTTGCAGGGCAGCGGGTGCAGTCCCTGGGGTGGGAGGCAGCTTGCAGTGTCCTGGGTGGCTGGGGCAGAATGGGAGGCATGAAAAATGCAGCAGAGTGGGATCAGAGGCAGGCAGGGTCTTGCAGGCCATGGCGAGGGGACTGGGTCCTACTCCCAGGGTAACAGGATAGCCCATCTGAGAATGTGGAGGCAGAGGGGGATGTGACCTGGCCATTGTGAGAATAGACCCCAGGGAGTGAATTACGACAGCTATGAATTTTGACAGATGCTGCGGTGGGATTAAGTGGTAGCAGAGAGAGGTGGTCATATTGATGCAGATTTCATTCTGAAGCAGGGACAGACAGATTCTGAAATGCTCCAAGTTCCCTCCAGGCTCCTCTTGCCTTCAGAACCCTCTTCCCTTCCTCCTCCTCCTCCCCCTTCATCTCCCACCAGACACTCATTTCTTAGAGGAGACCTCCCTCTCAAAGGAGAGCCCAACAGAGGTTTAATCCCTAGAATGAAA